CACCTCTTTAGTGAAACCCTAAATCAAACTACACTGGTACAGTACAGATCATAGAAGCTTCATACTGGAACTAGCACCTCGCGAGATGTACTGGCCCTGTAAGGGCAAACATGAGATTGAAACCTATGATTAGTGTTTACTGCTTCGATTAAGGGAGGCAACTCTGTCCAATGCCGAAGACAACAGTCACAAGTAGCAATCGTGACACCAAAGGTACCAACTGTAATATATTCAGCCAGCAATGTATTGAATGAAAGGAATATCCCAATCTAAAATTGAATCCCATGAATAAATCCATGCACCTCTGTGTTCTGAGCAAACTTTGCGCTACTACTACAATAAGTCTACACTAGATATGACGGTCATCTTCACGGCTCTTCACAGGCATATAGAAGTTGGTATTCAAGTATAAGACAAAATATTATGGATGTCAACTTCTTTATTGTATACACAGCGTTTCTGGGCTATTTCTTGCCCCTTCGTCAGGTGAATGACGAAAGGCCAAGGAATAGCCCTGAAACGTTGTGTATACAATAAAGAATGAGTTGACATCCATAATATTTTGTCTTATGCTAATATCACTTTCTACAGTTGCCCCCATGTCAAATATCCTGGCCACAATGACAAATACTAAACACAACTTGCCACAATATTCGATCCTGTGAAAGCTATTCCATGAAGGTTGAGTGTAATGAACAAATTGTTATATTACCTGCAACGTGCAGCGTTCTCACACTAACACTGATGTTGCCAATTTTCTTGACAAATGCAAGTGCTGTCTGCAAGAGATGCTGAGCTCCTCGTCTGATTCGAATAAATGCCATTCCTGTTCCAATGTTGAGATATTTCACTGAAATGTGAATATGACCGGTGAAATTCAACATCTGTGTACATCCAGATAGCTTTAATTATCACAAGCAGCTTCTGACAGCTGAATCCTAATGATAATGGTGGCCATTTTAACAACTCCCAATAAGTTCATTATCATCTTCTCACAGGGGAGGGGTGGGACGAGGTAACAGTAGGCTGGGTTCCCTGTAAATTTCGACTTTTGCAGCCTTTTGACAGATATTTTTTTCTTTCACCCTTTAGCATGTTCCTTTATCTTCTTTACGATTAACCGACACATTACTTTTGAATTGCAAGAATATCAGTCATCATTATCAGAACATGCACAAACAGACACTTCCAATATTTCATTGGGAGTTTTAGCCAAGTACTAACATTGGTCTCTGGTTTTAGCATGCAAGGGTCGAAATTAACAGACAAGACACTACTACGCTAAATGTGTTTAAAAATTCATAATTGTGTTCAATGTTTTAATAAAGGAAGAATGTTTCAGCGTCCCATGCTTTTGTTGATTTAAATCAGAAAAATTATGAAAATGGTCCTATACAACCATTGTCAATCATACTCAGTTTGGATTTATGAAAATGGTCGTATATTTATAAACATCGTCATACTCAGTTTGGACTTACTTCACTCTATTTATTGAAGATAATTAACAATGAATTCTGAAAATATAATCTACGGAACTTATAGCCAATCACATGCTTAGTATAACATCAGGGTTTTCCGATTCAACGATGGCGGAGCTTAGCAACTGCGTGTAATTTGTCAAATTGGTATTTATGATTGAACATTATTTCAAATAATATGATAACAAACTACTTAAAACGGAAGTGTGAAGGGGAAAGTGGTCAGGAATCGGGGATAAGTCTGGACAACAAGAAAACTGAGAAATCTAGTAAAGCGGTAGGCATAGTAGGTGTTACATGTGAATTAAAGACCTTGAAAAAATGGCCAAAAAACCCTGAATAATGTGAATATTGAAATTGGATACCAATTAAACTGACTGACTGAATTTGGTTTTACGCCACTTTTAACAATATTACAGCAACATCACGGCGGGGGACACCAGAAATGGGCTTCACAAATTGTACCCATGTGGGGATTCGAACCCGGGTCTTTGGCGTGACGAGCCAACGCTTTAACCACTAGGCTACCCCACCACCCCAGATACCAATTAAAAGAAGATACTACAGAGTGTGTGTACAAAATATGTTGCAATATCCCAATATCACCATTTATATTTATACTGTGTGCAGAGATACTAGCAAGTATGATCAGAAATAATGGAAATATACATGGTATACATATGGGAAACCTACTACCTCTTCTCGCCCAGTTTGCAGATGATACTACACTACCTGCAGTGTGTAGGGTGTGTATACACTAACTCTAACGGATCAGACAACAGCCTCTACACAACAATGAATACGATTTGTGATAGCCATTCAGAAGTTGGTAGGGTGATACAACACACTTGATATGGATGTGCAACTTCTTTATTATTCACACACGACGTTTCCCCTTCATCACGTGCATTCACCAGATGAAGGGGCAAGTGTTAGGCCAGATGAAGGGGCAAGTATTAGGCCAGATGAAGGGGCAAGTATTAGGCCAGATGAAGGGGCAAGTATTTGGCCAGATGAAGGGGCAAGTATTAGGCCAGATGAAGGGGCAAGTATTAGCCCTGATGAAGGGGCAAGTATTAGGCCAGATGAAGGGGCAAGTATTAGGCCAGATGAAGGGGCAAGTATTAGGCCAGATGAAGGGGCAAGTATTAGGCCAGAAACGTCGTGTGTAAATAATACAGAAGTTGCACATCCATATCAAGTGTGTTGTATTAACAATGAATACTTTATCTTCTGTTGCAAGATTTTCTGGATTAAAGGTTAATGCTGACAAAAATAAACTGCTTTGTATTGGGTCAAAAAAGAGAACAAGGTATATGCTCTGTAAAGAGTGGAAAATTGGTCACAGACTCAGTTTAGAAGACTTGGTATAGAATTTGACGTTGATTTAGATAATATGACAGAATTGAATTATAACAAAAACTTTGAGAAAATTGAAACAAAAATGGCAATGTGGACGAAAAGAACCCTAACACCGTTGGGAAGACATGTTGTATTGAAGTCACTACTACTTCCAAAATGTAACCATTTGTATAGTAGTATCCCTAGACCCTCTGAAAAAACAGTGGAAGATTTTAAAAAGAAGTGTTACCAATTCATTTGGAAGGGCATTCTCTTCCGACAGAGATTGCTTGTCATATCTTCCTACAAACATCTGGTCTAATACGGCCATATTTCCCGGTTCTCATAAAATCCCCTAGCAGCAAAAAGTCGCAATACGAATTATCTTCCTTCTTTCTATCCAATCAGAAAACGTGTTACATCGACTTAGATCCAACTTGACCAATACAAGCAAATGTGGGGCCACAAATATCCCTCCTCTGCCGGGGACTTGTGTTGATGTGACACACAAAACATTGAATGGCTAGCTTGTCCATTGTCAATGGAGACTCCATTGATCCGCCATTACATGAGTGAAATCCGTCTAGGCGAAACGTTTGCACATCGCGCAGGGGAAGAGGTTCTAGTTTTCCCAAAGCATACGGTAATTACCGAGGCCTTGCGAATGGTCACTTTTGAAACAACGTCGCGGATTGCACAACAAAATCTCATTGCAGCCAATCAAGAATTCTGAACACTCACAGCATGAAAGGGACGTACTAGAACAGAGGTTCGTAGGAAGATACCACAAGTAACCTCGGTGGGAAGAGAATGTTGGAAGGGTAAAATTGAGAAAATCCAAAGAAATATTATGCAGTTACCACCTAAATATGGTGGTATCAGTGTTCCTGATGTAAAAACTGTTATACAGAGCTCCAGATAAGATTTAGCTCATGTGGGTACTGTACCCAAATGTATTTTTTTGGAGCGGGTATTATGAATGTTGAGTGGGTATTTCATTTTCCGTTACCCACTGCTTTCAAATATGTGCGTATTTCAGTCATTTTACTCACCTAAGTATTGCGTCATTGAGTAAGTTTACTAAGCAGGTATGTTCAGCCTTATGTCATACCTAATCAAAACCAACTTAAACATAATGGAAATGATTTCATAAAAAATCACTCATCCTATACTGACAGTACAACGCTTGTCCTATACTAACAATACAACTTGATAGCAATCAATGTCTTTTTCATTACGCAAGCAATTTTTATAAATATATTCCGTACGCATTTGTTTTGAACTTTTTGAGTATCTAACATTTTAAATGTGTGATTAGTACGCAACAATTATTTTTCAGTGCGTAATTGGAAATTTTCTATGCGTATTTTACCCGGATACGCAGCTTATCTGGGCTTCTGGTTATAGCAGCTCAAAAACTGAGTTGGATTACAAGGTTAATCTATAGCAATGTTATCTGGACAAAGCTGGTCTCAGAATATATCATAGATTTAAATGTACTTTATTTAGCAGATTCCAATTACATTACAGAAAAGATTACTCCCAACATTCATGATAGGTTTTGGAAGGAGGTACTCTCCTCATGGTCAACATACTTGTACAGCTGTGATAATAGTGAAAACAGAAGTGATGAAGAGAAAATGTCAAAATCTATTTGGTATAACAATGCTATTAGAATTGGGAGTGAACCTATATATCTACAGCAATGGCATAAAAAGGGTGTAACATATTTTAGAGATATGATTGATGATGATGGAAAAATATATGATTATAAAAACTTTGTAAAAAGATATAATATCAAAACAGACTTTCTGACTTATGGGGGAGTCAGAAAATCAGTGTGATCATTTTTATACAACACCAATCCTTGTGTTGAACCCAGTTCTAGACCCATTCTGCTTTACAACATGTCAATAATAAGCAATAAACAAGGCTGAGTATATTAGACCCAACTTATACAAAGTTCAAAACACTGCTAAAACAGTACTAGGGTACAGAGTGGAAGAATATTAATCTTATGGTAAAACGATGTACACAAAGTAGTGAATGAAGAGGGTTTCAGTTTAAAATCATTCATATCATATTGAGTACCAATAACTTTTATTTAAGATGGGATACATTGAATCCCCAGCATATTCTTTATGTAATGATCCACTTGAAACCATTGTACATGTACATGTTTTATATACCTGTCAATATGCCAAACTCATATGGAGAAAACTTTCAGAATGGTTTGCAAAATATACTGAAGGAAACATTGAATTCAATGAAGAGAATGTATTATTTGGATTTAAGGGTATGAATAATAATGCTTTGAATGCAATTATTCTTATAACAACTTATGCCTTACAGATATACTATTAGGAAAATCAAACCAAATTTCAAACCTTTACATCAAGAAATATATAGATACTACCAAGCAACAAAATTTACAGCATTCTCAAAATGTAAACAAACAAACAATGCTATTCAGCGTGTCATGACCTTTGAATCACAATCCTGTGTACATCTCTACACATGCTTTTCAGCAACCCAGTGTAATGTCTTATATGTGACACTTAAATGAATCACAATCCTGTGTACATCTATGACACCTTTAGTCGAGTCTACATATACTGTTCAGCAATCCAGCGTAATGTATTAGATATGACACTTAAATGAGCCACAATCCTGTGTACATTTATATGCACATATATATGTACGTACACATGTATGTATTGTTGTTATAAAATGGATGCAAATCTAACCAAAAAGTGGAAATAAAAAAAATTAAATATGGTGCCCAGAGTGCAGGACTTATTCCTCACCACTTTTCCCCTGTTTTAAGTAGTGTCTTATCATATTACGTTTAGTTATGGTTGTGAAAAATAACCGTTACTGATTTTGGAATTATTCTTTAAGGTTTTGCTTATTGAAATTTCATTTAGCTTGTAGCTTAAAAGGTCATAAGCAGTCTCTTGCGTGTGCTTTAAACAGTTTTCTAACCCTGGTATGTGTGAAGTACTTAAAACATTTCCTGCAGACCATGGCAGATGGACTGACTGACCATTTAGGGAGGTTCTCAAGAACCCCATGCCGTAGTCGCCATGGGCTCTGCTGATGGCGCTAGAGACGGCGCGGTACACATCATACTCCTTGGTGTTCTGTAGCTGATTGTTATCCTCCGCCATTACCTCACACACGAGGTACCTGCAGAACACAGAATTTATTTTATGTCGGACAAATAATTAACAGGACTAAACTTGCTGCTAGAAAAAGTCGTTACTCGACAGTAAAGTGCTTTTAATACAATTACTATGGAAGCAAGAATATATCGTTATTTGACAACCTTCTTTTAACCCGCACCATCCCTGAAGTTCCCTTGTTTCTGACTGATAAACGTGTGTTCGTTGACAAGACATTAACACATCAGTCAGACGTGAGTTGTGAAACACGGTGAGAGTTATCTGCCCCTGGCGGAAGTTTTCTTTGTAACGCCCTCTATATTCCAGCTGAAAATATTGACATTTATCGAATATAACTTATCGCCACCTTTAACATTGTATGGCCTTGCAAAATACTCTATGTTATTTATACTTATGGGAGACAAAGAATGAGAGACATTACAACATGTCCAGAAAGGATACACGAGTAAGTGTGTGGATCAAAAGTGGTTGACATCTAGTGATCTGCACCGGTTTGACAAAAACTTGGTAAAAAAAACAGCCTGATAGTGACACCCAGCCAGGATGAAGCATCACCCATGGATGTAGTCTGGAGATGTTCTTCAGTGATGCAGTGACTTGACAGCTGTTTCAAGTGAGTATATTTAATTAGTTACAGCTAATTAACCATGAGGCTTACACGTAGGTCAGTTGGAGATATTTGACCAGTCATTGTGAAATGACATGCATGTTTACTTATGAGGGACCTATGTTTCGCTTCTCTGAGGCGTCGTGGAGTATTATGATCACACTCTCGAATCCCAGACTATTTTCCTTAGATCTTCAGATTCTTACCGTGCTTGTTGGATCAACAAAAGTGGTGTGCTAATATGATGTACCAAAAACACCTTCAGACTTTTGACCCCCATTGCTGACATGCTTTTCAAAGTCAAAACATTTTAGAGACCACATAAAGGGTGTTAACTGATCATGTCATGATGGGGATACTAAACTTGACCCTCACACACTGTACATGTTGAGTATCCTGTCTAACATCAGAGACCATATAATAAATGGTACTCACTAACAAAATCAGTCCCCAGTCACCTTTGCTAGCTGCCCAAGGTCCCTAATTGGAATAACTGGTTGTACCAATACTCTCAATGGGATTGTGTTGTGATTGTTGTATACATTGTGGCATGCTGCTTGTAATACGTGTCAGTATTTTGCCTGGTCCTAGGATCAAGTGGTCAGGCTGTTTCTATGACGAAGTGAAACATGCAGCTAAGGTGTTGTTCATTCTATCAATCACTGGTTTGTCTAGTTCAGACCTTTCACATTATTTACAAACACCAAGCATACTGCTTAGATAGGAACCTACCACATAGCAGCAAGCAAACCTATCAAACATTTTGTGTTTAAGTTTTTCATGATAAACATATTCTTTCACAGAACAATATCCAAGCTAGATTCTTCTGTGACTATTGAATTTGATCCTGAATATCTCCATTTATGCTTAATTAACAATGCAAGATATTATTAAATGGTACTTCTGGTTTATAGTCTGTTTGGGTCAAAATGATACCAATGAATAACAATCTAACTCCAAATTGGTTCATGATCAAACATTCATTTCAACGCAGAATCTAATGAAAACATCAGACCAACTCTGGAAAAAAAGATTCAAAACGTTTGTCTCCAAAACAAAAAAAGTTGCTGAACACGCTGTCATCATTTGGTTTTGATTTTCCGTGTGAAGTTTTACGAGGGTAAAGTAACAGTTGCAGCAGGAACAGCCTCAAGGGCAGAAAGCATGTGCAATTGTGCATAGCCAATCGATTTATTGACACGGGGCCTGAGACAGTGAAATTCACCTCTGACATCAAGAACATTATTTCAAAAGTTTATGATTTTATTTTTTTAGGTGAAAGTGAAAGGGGTCACCTTAAATATGCCCTGGGTAAACAGACTGTAGGAAAGAATTGATTTTAATGATTTCAGAATGTTTGCGAAAATTGACACAAAGAAAGGTCAGTTTTTGGAACAGACCAAAGCAGCCCGAGCTGAAAGAGCACAGGAGAAAGTGAAAGAAAAGGCTGCACTGAAGATACAGGTAACAACATGATTAGCTGTAGATATTTATGGTGAAAGCACAGAATAAGTTTATAACCTTGAGGAATATTATTACTTATAAATTTATGGCTGGCAACTTATAGCGGTGTGTAATGAGATTCCGTGTCTTCAGTTTGTGTGTGGTTTGGTAACATTCTTCTGCTGTGATATATGTGTTCTGTAGAGGTCAATGTTTTTTCCATTGAACATTTTTTAAATGTTTTTAGTACATCCATTATCATGATTAAGGATTCATGCTTTGTACTTGTCTCAGAAAATGTATGATTTTTTATGGAAACAAGCAACTACATTCTGTTGAAAAGTAGCAGCAGTAAGATGGGAATTTAACCACCTGACTCGAAATGGCAAAAGTTTTAACATAATATATTATTTCTTTGGTTATGAAATGCATGAAGTAAAATAGGGAAACAGTAGTAACGTAACAATGGATTTTCTGCATTGCTTTATACAGGGAAACTCAGCAGTCAGGTAATACTAATATCTCTCTATACAGCTCAGCAATCATGTATATGCCATATGACATGTATAGTATGACCAGAAAGTATTGAGAATTTTAGGAATTTTTAATGGGATTTCTAGTATAAACAGCCTTGACCAGCTATCAAGTGCTTGGTTTTATTCAAGAGAGACAACTCCATTAATCCTTTTTCATTAGGTTGTGAAGAGTTATCCCCTTTTGTTTACTTGCTAGCAGACGACATTTTCAGTGATCCTCAGTATGGATGATTTAGAGAAGAGGAAGTTGATTTTAGAGTGTTATAACAAGGACATCAGATCAGCTAAAGTGATTTCAATTAGAACAGGCATCCCTTTGTCCACTGTTTATCGTGTTTTGAAAAATATTGCAAATGGATATGGCATTGAGCACCAGGGAGGCGCAGGTAGGCCCAGAAAATTGACTGTCGGCGACAGGAGGCGGCTTGGTATTCTTGTTCCAAAAAACAAACGAAGGAGTTTAGAAAACTTAAGACTGGATATGATCGATAGAGGAACTGTGGCTGTCTGTAAGGAGACAATTAGAACTGAGCTGCATGCAATGAGTGGGCAGAAAAGTCGAGGAATTCCATCACCGATCATGAAACCTGAACAAAAAGGAGCGAAGGTTGAACTGGTGCTTACAGCATAGAAATTTTAACTGGGACAATGTGATTTTCTCAGATGAAAGTTCTGTGTGGCTGTTTCCTAATACTCTGAAATTCTGGACCAAACAAACTGAAAAACCTTTGTATCAGCTCCCAAAGTACAGTCCGAAATTTAGCGGTGTGGGGTGGCATATCTGTGTTAGGGGCCACGCCCCTCTATATTTGAAGGGAATATGAACAGTGAGCGGTACACAGATATTCTTGAGGGACATTTACTTCCATCTGCTCACATGTTCGATGGAAATTTTTGGATTTTCCAGCAGGACAACCCTAAACATTGTTCAAAGCATTCACAGGCGTGGTTTCGGACCCAAAATATGACATTATTAGATTGGCCAAGCTATAGCCCTGACCCAAATCCAATAGAAAATGTTTGGGGACTTGTGAAGGAAAGTGTCAATAAGAAAAATCTGACAAATATTGCTGAATTGAAAGAATAGGTGGTCCAATATTGGGACAGTATGGACCACGGCTTATAACTTCTTTGCCCCGTCGCATTGTAGCCTGCATTGCTGCCCATGGTGACTTGACAAAATACTAACTGTTCACCTGTCTTTGAATCTGGAGTTATGTTCTGCTAATATTCACACTTAATACCTGAGTAATGAGAGAGAAAAAATATAAAATTACAATCTTATTTTCTCAATAATTTCTGGTTGTACTGTATAACATGATCAGATGCATAGTGACGTTTATAGATTTCTATTGCTGCAAATCAAGTTGTTTTTTTGTCAAGACACTTTCGGTTTTCAGACAGTTTGGTACTGTTTTCTTGTAGACACATTCACATGGTGCGTTTTCAGCTGTGATTCAGACTTTGACGTGAGTCAATTCTCCACACAGTCGTGTAACGATTATTGTTGATATATTTCAGGCTGTTGCCAAAGGATTCCTTTGTAGGCAAAGGTTTAAGAAGGAAATCAGGTTTGTTGTGATTTTGTGATTCGTTGAATTTTGTTTGACTTGATGTACACTCTTGAACATTAGATCGTCTCTGTGGTGTAGTGGTTAGAGCGTCCGCCCGGAGAATGGAAGGTTGTTGGTTTGATCCCCGATCACGTCATACCAAAAGACGTTAAAATATGGTACTTGTTGGTCCCTGCCTGGCGCTCGGCATTAATGGGTACAACAAGGACTGGTCGGCTCGGAGTCAGTATAATGTGTCTGAGTGGGGTATTCATGCTTCAATGCGGCATGGTATCTCAGTGAACTAGCACTAAAAAAGACAGCTTAAGTCTGGTCTAGTACAAGCAGTCATACACACGAATGCACATCGTCATGAGCGAAATAATCTTAAGTGTGATGATAACTACAATTCACCTCACATCACCTCTTGAACATTAACTGACAACACATTCGATAAAATAAGATTATTAGGACTAAGAGATGTGTATAGGTTTTTACAGTTGTTTGAGTAAATATCCAGATGCTGAAGGTGGCATATAGTGAGAGTGATTGTCTTGACATGGTACATGTACTTTCATATAGGATACTTTTTAGATATCTCAGACAGGTAAGAACGATTCGTTTGCCCTGGACAGTGATGTTGTCGACGATGTCAGGATATGTAGTAATGAATTACAAATACTATACCTAAAGTAACTGGTTGCCATGGTTTCAGCCACGATGTTGACAAGCTTCTCCAGATGCCAGGTGACAAAGAGGAGGACTACAAACCAACACTCTTGCCAGGTAAGACAATCATTCCAGGCTTCTGTCTACATATACATATTGTCTACCACATGACTTCCATAGTAGAGCTATGCCGGTCTAGACTTCCGTAGTAGAGGTATGTCAGTCTAGACTTCCGTAGTAGAGGTATGCCGGTCTAGACTTCCGTAGTAGAGGTATGCCGGTCTAGACTTCCGTAGTAGAGGTATGTCAGTCTAGACTTCCGTAGTAGAACTATGTCAGTCTAGACTTCCTTAGTAGAACTATGCCAGTCTAGACTTCCTTAGTAGAACTATGCCAGTCTAGACTTCCTTAGTAGAACTATGCCAGTCTAGACTTCTGTCTACATATACATATTGTCTACCACATGACTTCCATAGTAGAGCTATGCCAGTCTAGACTTCCGTAGTAGAACTATGTCAGTCTAGACTTCCTTAGTAGAACTATGCCAGTCTAGACTTCCGTAGTAGAGGTATGCCAGTCTAGACTTCAGTAGTAGAACTATGTCAGTCTAGACTTCCGTAGTAGAGCTATGCCAGTCTAGACTTCCGTAGTAGAACTATGTCAGTCTAGACTTCCGTAGTAGAGGTATGCCAGTCTAGACTTCAGTAGTAGAACTATGTCAGTCTAGACTTCCGTAGTAGAGCTATGCCTGTCTAGACTTCCGTAGTAGAACTATGCCAGTCTAGACTTCTGTAGTAGAGCTATGCCAGTCTAGACTTCCGTAGTAGAGCTATGCCGGTCTAGACTTCCGTAGTAGAGGTATGCCAGTCTAGACTTCCGTAGTAGAGCTATGCCAGTCTAGACTTCCGTAGTAGAGCTATGCCGGTCTAGACTTCCGTAGTAGAGCTATGCCGGTCTAGACTTCCTTAGTAGAACTATGCCAGTCTAGACTTCCGTAGTAGAACTATGCCAGTCTAGACTTCCGTAGTAGAGCTATGCCGGTCTAGACTTCCGTAGTAGAGCTATGCCAGTCTAGACTTCCGTAGTAGAGCTATGCCTGTCTAGACTTCCGTAGTAGAGCTATGCCGGTCTAGACTTCCGTAGTAGAGCTATGTCAGTCTAGACTTCCGTAGTAGAGCTATGCCAGTCTAGACTTCCGTAGTAGAGCTATGCCAGTCTAGACTTCCGTAGTAGAGCTATGCCAGTCTAGACTTCCGTAGTAGAGCTATGCCAGTCTAGACTTCCGTAGTAGAACTATGCTGGTCTAGACTTCCGTAGCAGAGCTATGTCAGTCTAGACTTCCGTAGTAGAGCTATGCCAGTCTAGACTTCCGTAGTAGAACTATGCCAGTCTAGACTTCCGTAGTAGAGCTATGCCAGTCTAGACTTCCGTAGTAGAACTATGCTCGTCTAGACTTCCGTAGTAGAGGTATGTCAGTCTAGACTTCCGTAGTAGACCTATGCCAGTCGAGACTTCCGTACTAGAACTATGCCAGTCTAGACTTGTATACAGTATAAATCCCTACACATGTGTATGCTATGTGTATACTATATACAGCAAGTATATAAATATAAACATGATCACAAGGCAGCCAAAGAAGATTGTGCACAACATGTACACTGTGCAACTCGTATACAACATACAATATGATGTATGTATATAATACAATGCAACTTGTATACAACATATATGCAAACATGTATACAATGTACAACATACATATGATGTATATAATGTGTACAACATATACACTGTGCAACTTGTATACAACATACAATATGATGTATATAATGTGTACAACATGTACACTGTGCAACTTGTATACAACATACAATATGATGTATATAATGTGTACAACATGTACACTGTGCAACTTGTATACAACATACAATATGATGTATATAATGTGTACAACATGTACACTGTGCAACTTGTATACAACATACAATATGATGTATATAATGTGTACAACATGTACACTGTGCAACATACAATATACAATATGATGTATATAATGTGTACAACATATACACTGTGCAACTTGTATGCAACATACAATATGATGTATATAATGTGTACAACATGTACACTGTGCAACTTGTATACAATATACAATATGATGTATATAATGTGTACAACATGTACACTGTGCAACTTGTATACAATATACAATATGATGTATATAATGTGTACAACATGTACACTGTGCAACTTGTATACAACATACAATATGATGTATATAATGTGTACATGTACACTGTGCAACTTGTATACAACATGCAGTATGATGTACTAGTATATAATGTGTACAAAATGTATGCATGGAAAATATGGATCTCCATTGTATGGTATACAACATTATATGTACAGTAGATCAGGCAACAGGGCTAAAGGTTACAACAGGTTCATTGAAGAAGTTATGTAACATGAAATATTCCTTGGTAGGAGAAAGCAGCCTGGGAACATTGTTACTAAATATACTATCGACAAAAAATAAGGGAACTAAGAAATTAAATGCAGCAAACGTAGAGGTGAAAGGGTGCATTACCGTAGCGTTGCACCCGAACGCAACATCCAATGACAATGAAATTCCACATGATGCATTACCAACACGTGATGCACGTGCAAACAGAAGTCAACCTCTGTAAACGTATTGGAGAACTCACAATCACTAATGTAAGAGAGTTGAACATATGCTGAAAAATTCCTCCGAGGCAGTATCTCAATGAACAAACAAAATGGAGAATTGTGGGGATGATAGCAGGGGGGACATCATTGTGTCAAGTTGCCCGAATGTTGGGTAAATCAAAAAGTGTAATTTCGCGCCTGTGGGCCAAGTACCGTCAAACAGGTGGGGTTGCAATAAGACTTGGGCGTGGCAGACCAAAATCAACGACACCACGACAGGATCGTCTCATTACATTAATGGCCCTACGTAATAGGTTCAAATCAGCACCTGCCATCAATAGGGAATTCCGTACACTCACTGGGTGACGAATTTCACACTCAGCCGTTAAAAACCGGCTCTATCAAGCATGTCTGAAAGCAAGGCAGTCTTTCAAGGGTGTTTCCCTTACAGCTCACCATAGGCTTCAAAGATTGGCATGGGCTATCAGGGCAGCATCAGGGACAGGCTTTAAGCCATGGGCGTTACAGTGAGCGCGTATGCCAGAGCGGTATACAATTCTCATGATGATATGTCAGTGTCATGGTTTTGCCTCAGATTCTGGTCATCGAATGGATCCTTGACTGAAACATTGATCGAAAAGTTTGCGTTGTTGTGGCTCCACTGGCTAGAATCATCGGCAGGAATTTTGAATTCAAGATGATAATGCCAGACCATCGCCAAGTCGCCATCGCAATTATTGACTGACATGACCTCCCCAATTGAACATCTATGGGACATTCTCGGTCGAAGGGTGTACCCCCGCGACCACAACCTGGCCCAGCTTGGTGCAGCTCTTCAGGACGAATGGCGGGCAATACCACTGGTAACCATCCGGAAATTAGTCAACAGTATGCCATCAAGGTGTCGTGAATGTGTTGCCCAACATGGTGGACACACCAGATATTGAACTTTACGCCCACATTTGATTTAGTGGACATTCAGAGCAATTTCACATTCACTGTCATTTCATCAGTTCCCTTATTTTTTTGTCGGTAGTATATATAGCAGTTATTTCCATAAATAGTTTGAAGTCTTCAAGTTGTTTCAACTGCTGAATGTCTCCATGACGACTGGTGGTGACTTGTGTGTCCACAGCCCTAGAAGTGTTCCAGACCATCAAAAAATATTTGTTTATTACGGATGACCGGGACACAGTCAGGTTCGGGTATCTCTGCCGCTATCTCCTCGTCTCTGTGGACTCCGACAATCTCAGGGTAATTGTATAAGTTGAAACCATAAGACAAGGAGCGAGTGAGTTTAGTGTTATCCCGCTTTTAGCAATATTCCAAGAATATCATGTCAGGGTACAATAGAAATGGCTTCACACATTGTACCCATGTGGGAAATCTAACCTGGGTCTTCAGGTGATGAATGGATGCTTAGGCTACCCCCATAAGACAAGGTCATTCTGTGGGTAATTGTGTAAGTTGAAACTATAAGAGACTGCTAGAAACTGACAACGGATGGATGAACTGAATTGCTGCGACATTACTGAAATATTCCTCAAAGCTGCGCAGGACAAATTAATTGTCTTATAACAAGAATATGTATTCATTTCTGAGTGTTTGATTCTTTGCTCCTTGTCATCTCTGATGTGTAAACATCTGAATGCCGTAAACCATTATGTGTTATGGCAGTTCCACTCCTTGTGCTTTTAATATTGCATAATCAGTTCCTCAGGTATCTATAACAGCTTATAACAAATCAAGGATTAGAAAACTGCCATATAGGCCAGGGTTCTCCACAGGTGATGTTTACTAGAATTCCAGGTAAAAATAGGTTCCACTGTCACCGACTTCATCACAATTATCCCATGACGAAAGTTGCCAAGCTATTGCCAAGTTGTAGCATTTGTTTCCAACTGATACATTCGCTCGTCACACTGAAGACCCAGGTTCGATTCCCCACATGGGTACAATGTGTGAAGCCCATTTGTGGTGTCCCCTGCCATGATATTGCTGGAATATTGCTGGAATATTGCTAAAAGCGGCCTAAAACTAAACACACTCACTCAAACTGATACAAGCATCGGCTCTTAAGCAATAGTATAGATAAATAACTGATAACCATATCATGGTTTGAGTCTGAAAAATTGCTGAAATCTGTTTATTTTTTAAAGTAAACCGGGATTTAAGTGATTTCTGTGAAAATATTTTGGAATATTCAGAATGTGACTGGATTATTGCTGTCTGCGGTGTAATACAATATAATGTCTCTCTACACTAATGTTATGCATTTGTATATTTTTTCCTTATCCTGACTCATGCTCATTGTTATCTCCCTTTCCCTTGGTATTGCTTGTGTTATTTAATATTTACTTGGCTGTTATTTTGTTCATTTCAGACATCATATGTTTCGGTTGCCATGACTAAAAAGCATGTGTTACCATGGATACAGCAACTGAAAGACATTCTATGGAGAAGTTCTACCATGCTTGGGTGTTTAAAAGTGAGTATTTACTATTTATGCATTACAGTATCATCGTTTGAGTGGACCAACACCTTAACACATCCCAGCCCAACATGCTGAAGAATGTCAGCCTTCACTGTTACATAAGCGGCAGTGCACATACGCCACACTGAAGACCCAGATTTGATTCCCCACATGGGTACTGGGTGTGAAGCCCATTTCTGGTGTCCCCTGCCGGGATACTGCTGGCATATTGGTAAAAGCGGCGTAAAACTCACTCACTCACTCTATTACATAATCCTGTGTGGTGTTGGACAATATATATTCACGTCTGTTGTAAACAGGGAGACAGCCATGGTTTCCATGATGATAAGAATATTGGAAGTGATTCCATGGCATTTTATTGGCTAACCAAGCAGTTGTTTATGAATTCATGTTTTCTTAATTAAAACCAAATTAAGCTACACTCTACTGAATTCACTTCAATGTTTTTATGTTTATGGAGCAATTAATATGAAAACCAGTGTGCACACTTTGCAGAAATCTTCTCAACATGTTGAAGTCAGATGCTTGATTGGCATTTTTAGAAGATGCTATTTGATGAACATAAGAATTTTCTGGATTTCATCTTCTGTTATTCTTTGATTCGGGGCCTGTTACCGCCCCAATTTTACCTGACGATGAGGCCAGAACAGGCACAAACATTGTATAAAAGAATAAAAGTAGTTGAAATCCAGAAACTTCTTATGTTCATATTTTGAGTCAGGTCTGAAAGAGCATACTTTCTTGTTCGCAGCCCGAGAGCCACAACGACATGAAGGTGATCACGGTGTATCTCCGGCTCCTTATCACATTCACCAGCCCTGCATCCTGGAAAATACTCAAAGGAAAAACTGGTCAGATTTAATAGTGTATCCGTCTTAGAGCCAACATAACAGATAAATCTCCCTTAGGAACCTCATAAAAATGACTACAACCGAGGTTGTTGATTTGATTTTTTATTTAAAGATATTTTATTCATTGAAGAAAAGGATTGGGTAAAATATGTTTAGATTATGTTGCTCATTGCTTGGTTACCACGGCTACAGGAAACAGTGTGTAGTGTCCACTAGAGACTGTATTTTATCAGTCCAATACCACTATTATTATTGTCATGTGTGTAGGAGGTTATTGTATCTGACATGTTTAGTATATGATAATGGTGAAGTCATAATGTATTGCAGAAGAAAATCTGATGTTAACACATGATTAAGAAAAGCGTTTACAAAGCTTGCTAATGACCAGTTAGACTCTTTAATCTGTACCCATTGTGAGTAGATCCAAGGGGATTCCATGTTCCGTCTCACAGTTCCGTACACTGCATGTCATTGTATCCCTCTCTCCCACATCCACACAACCACCTACATACCTCCACACCCCACCTCACCCCACACACACCCACACACACATGACACACACATCCACACACATATGACACCCACAACACGTCCACACACACATACGACACCAACAACACGTCCACACACACATACGACACCAACAACACATCCACACACACATAAGACACCCACAAGACATCCACACACATATGACACCAACAACACGTCCACACATACATACGACACCCACGACCGTCCACACACACATACACGACACCAACAACACATCCACACACACATACGACACCAACAACACGTCCACACACACATGCAACACCAACAACACATCCACACACACATACGACACCAACAACACGTCTACACACACATACGACACCAACAACACATCCACACACATACGACACCAACAACACGTCCACACACACATACGACACCAACAACACGTCTACACACACATACGACACCAACAACACATCCACACACACATACGACACCAACAACACGTCCACACACACATACGACACCAACAACACGTCCACACAAACATATGACACCAACAACACGTCCACACACACATACGACACCAACAACACGTCTACACACACATACGACACCAACAACACGTCCACACACACATATGACACCAACAACACGTCCACACACACATACGACACCAACAACACGTCCACACACACATATGACACCCCACTCGACACGTCCACACACATACATGACACCAACAACCGTCCACACACATAATGACACCACCAACAACACATCCACACACATATGACACCAACAACACGTCCACACACACATACGACACCAACAACACGTCCACACACACATATGACACCAACAACACGTCCACACACACATACGACACCAACAGCACGTTCACACACACATATGACACCCAAAACAGGTCCACACACACATATGACACCAACAACACGTCCAAACACATATGACACCCACAACACGTCCACACACACATGACACCCACAAGACATCCACACACACATATGACACCAACAACACGTCCACACACACATATGACACCAACAACACGTCCAAACACACATGACACCCACAACACGTCCACATCACACATATGACACACATGGCACTATGACAACCATGCACATGACACAAGACATGCAACACCCACGACATGTTCACACACACATATGACACCCATGCACATATAACACACATGACACATGTGACACCCACGACACATACACACACATATGACACCCATGCACATATAACACACATGACACATGTGACACCCAGGACACATACACACACATATGACACACACAACCCATATAACACCCATGACACATCCTCACACATATGACACTCGACACATATGACACACACTCGACACATTTGACACACACGACACGTCCACGCGCAGCATATGACAAAGGACATGTCACACACATGACACACAACACAGGTGACACACACAACACAGATGACACACACAACACATATGTTGCACAACACATGTGAGACATGCACAACACATAACACACATATGACACACAAAAAGCACACAACACATGGAACTTGACACATAACACACAACACATATGACACTCACACGGCACATCACACACACACACGATACATATGACACAACATATGAGGCATACACATATGACACATTATGACACATGACACACAACACTCACACAACACATGTAGCACACAGAGAGTAACGACCATGGGTACTTAGAAAATTGATGCAGATAGTCATTCAAGTGTTGTAGTGACTTGTGCCTGTTTTATGTTGTGAATTGAAATGTATCTGTGTTGAGTGACCTGTACTCTCTATATGAACGTTCTTTGACTCTACCGTTCAGTGTTGAGTGACCTGTACTCTCTGTATGAACGTTCTGTGACTCTACCGTTCAGTGTTAAGTGAGCTGTACTCTCTGTATGAACGTTCTGTGACTCTACCGTTCAGTGTTGAGTGACCTGTACTCTCTATATGAACGTTCTTTGACTCTACCGTTCAGTGTTGAGTGACCTGTACTCTCTGTATGAACGTTCTGTGACTCTACCGTTCAGTGTTAAGTGAGCTGTACTCTCTGTATGAACGTTCTGTGACTCTACCGTTCAGTGTTAAGTGAGCTGTACTCTCTATATGAACGTTCTGTGACTCTACCGTTCAGTGTTGAGTGACCTGTACTCTCTGTATAACCGTTCTGTGACTCTACCGTTCAGTGTTGAGTGACCTGTACTCTCTGTATGAACGTTCTGTGACTCTACCGTTCAGTGTTAAGTGAGCTGTACTCTCTATATGAACGTTCTGTGACTCTACCGTTCAGTGTTAAGTGAGGCGTACTCTCTATATGAACGTTCTGTGACTCTACCATTCAGTGTTAAGTGAGCTGTACTCTCTGTATGAACGTTCTGTGACTCTACCGTTCAGTGTTAAGTGAGCTGTACTCTCTATATGAACGTTCTGTGACTCTACCGTTCAGTGTTAAGTGAGGCGTACTCTCTATATGAACGTTCTGTGACTCTACCGTTCAGTGTTAAGTGAGCTGTACTCTCTGTATGAACATTCTGTGACTCTACCGTTCAGTGTTAAGTGAGGCGTACTCTCTGTATAACCGTTCTGTGACTCTACCGTTCAGTGTTAAGTGAGCTGTACTCTCTGTATGAACGTTCTGTGACTCTACCGTTCAGTGTTAAGTGAGCTGTACTCTCTGTATGAACGTTCTGTGACTCTACCGTTCAGTGTTGAGTGACCTGTACTCTCTGTATAACCGTTCTGTGACTCTACCGTTCAGTGTTAAGTGAGCTGTACTCTCTGTATGAACGTTCTGTGACTCTACCGTTCAGTGTTGAGTGAGCTGTACTCTCTGTATGAACGTTCTGTGACTCTACCGTTCAGTGTTAAGTGAGCTGTACTCTCTGTATGAACGTTCTGTGACTCTACCGTTCAGTGTTGAGTGACCTGTACTCTCTGTATAACCGTTCTGTGACTCTACCGTTCAGTGTTGAGTGACCTGTACTCTCTGTATGAACGTTCTGTGACTCTACCGTTCAGTGTTAAGTGAGCTGTACTCTCTGTATGAACGTTCTGTGACTCTACCGTTCAGTGTTGAGTGAGGCGTACTCTCTATATGAACGTTCTGTGACTCTACCGTTCAGTGTTGAGTGACCTGTACTCTCTGTATAACCGTTCTGTGACTCTACCGTTCAGTGTTAAGTGAGCTGTACTCTCTGTATGAACGTTCTGTGACTCTACCGTTCAGTGTTGAGTGAGGCGTACTCTCTGTATGAACGTTCTGTGACTCTACCGTTCAGTGTTAAGTGAGGCGTACTCTCTATATGAACATTCTGTGACTCTACTGTTCAGTGTTGAGTGACCTGTACTCTCTGTATAACCGTTCTGTGACTCTACCGTTCAGTGTTAAGTGAGCTGTACTCTCTGTATGAACGTTCTGTGACTCTACCGTTCAGTGTTAAGTGAGGCGTACTCTCTGTATGAACGTTCTGTGACTCTACCGTTCAGTGTTAAGTGAGCTGTACTCTCTGTATAACCGTTCTGTGACTCTACCGTTCAGTGTTAAGTGAGGCGTACTCTCTGTATGAACGTTCTGTGACTCTACCGTTCAGTGTTAAGTGAGCTGTACTCTCTGTATAACCGTTCTGTGACTCTACCGTTCAGTGTTAAGTGAAACGCATTAGTGTTAAGTGAAGCTGTACTCTATATGAACGTTCTGTGACTCTACCGTTCAGTGTTAAGTGAGCTGTACTCTCTGTATAACCGTTCTGTGACTCTACCGTTCCGTGTTAAGTGAGGCGTACTCTCTATATGAACGTTCTGTGACTCTACCGTTCAGTGTTAAGTGAGCTGTACTCTCTGTATAACCGTTCTGTGACTCTACCGTTCAGTGTTAAGTGAGGCGTACTCTCTATATAGAGAATCTCACCCGAGTGTCTTTTGATATCAAATATATCACCACGAGTTGATAAGGTAACAAAAATCCGAGGCTTGCCGAGGATATTTTTACTTTTATCAACGAGTGTTGATATATTTGATATCAGAAGACACGATGGTGAGATTCTATTTATCATTCAAAATCACTCTTCATTAGTTTTCAATGTAAAATGTACATCTCTGAACACAGTACTGCCATTAAATTTGCAGTGCAGCGATGTCATAGCATTGTGACGTCATCAAGGTCATGACGTCATAGCATTGTCAGGGCATTGTGCAAAATCTACTGTCAAAACAATATCTCCTAGGAGATATCCTCTGATCTCACACAAGCGATATCTCCTGTGGAACACAGTTTTGGATGATAAATGAACGTTCTGTGACTCTACCGTTCAGTGTAAAGTGAGCTGTAATCTCTGTATGACCGTTCTGTGACTCTACCGTTCAGTGTTAAGTGAGGCGTACTCTCTGTGTGAGTGTTCTGTGACCTCAGTGCCACGTTTCCCCCTGATCCTACAGTGCTGTGTTTACAGGAGAGGCCCTGACACCTGGCATGTCCCAGCTCTGCAATAACGTCATGGGTCACCTCAACAGTAAAGGCATCTACAAGATACTTCAGGTAAATCATCTCATCTCAGATGCTACACGTTCTGTTTTAAATCAAATTTAGAGCTATTATAATTTCGTCATATACCTCTGATTTTCCAACACAATATGTTTATCTCCTAATTGAACATTTCCTGTATCAGATATAAGTCATACTAAGTAGCTGATGTGGAGTTAGTAAATAGGTACACATGTTGGGTCTCGGTGTTCATAGTCGTGCCCAGCAGCTTATACTTGTCAGTACATACATGCATGCATATGTGTGCATGCACGCATGCACACACACACACAACACACACACACACACACACACACAACACACAACACACACACACACACACACACACACACACACACACACACATACATACGGCACATCATATTTTTCAATCTCAACTCCCTGGGGACATACATACTAGGCGCACCCAGTTAATGGGGCTTTTCCATTCTTACGAGGTACCCATTCACAGCTGGGTGGACTGGGACACAGTACTTTGTCCAAGTTCACTGCATGTTGCTGTACCCGCAACTGGGTGTTTGCACGTATTCATGTGGCCACCATCTGGTCATCTACCAACGGATTCGTGGGTTCCCTTAAGTGCACAGGGTTGTGTACTGTACACTAGGGGTTGTGACAACACTGAAAGAGTCTGCACACAATGTTGACTCCAAGGTTTTTTATACCCGGTCACAGGTGGGCTCGATCCCGGCACCTCCAAGCTGGCTGGATTACTAGCCTGGCGCCTTAGACAGCTCGCCCACCCCGCCCCAGTAGAGGTGACTTTATCACATGGTGAGAGTCAGTTACCACCCTCCCTTGGTGAATCGTCACCTTGTATGGATATATATATCATGAACTGCTCATCTCTCTGAAAAGTGAGACGAGTGAAATGTCAGATCATCTGTTTTCACACATTTCCTTGTTTACAGGGTCTACTGACACGTGGACTGGCTCGACCTAAGCCTGTCTTCACGAGAGCTACACTGACAGCAATCATTACCCTGGCGTTGAGGTAATACAGCAATATATGCTCAATATTGTACATTTCTTCATAATCAGAATAATATTATTGTTTTGTCGATATCAAACATGATTAGCCATGTAGTCTAGTTATGACTGGACATGTGCTGCTGGTTTCACATCGATGGTATTTGTGTGAGAGCAGTGTGGAGACTGACTGTTTTGTGTGTGTAGTGATCGTCAAAGGGTGATTCAAATACAGGGAATAGAACTTGAAATAGCAATAGCTAACATTGAGTTTATGCTTGACAATCAAAATAATTGACATTGGAACCTCTCTTGGACATCATGTTTGACTACCAGTCGTTAACATTGATACAGTGTTTGACGTGTAGTTGACATTGATACAATGTTTGACTTGTAGTTGACATTGATACAATGTTTGACTTCTAGTTCACATTGATACAATGCTTGACGTGTAGTTGACCTTGATACAATGCTTGACGTGTGGTTGACATTGATACAATGCCTGACGTGTAGTTGACCTTGATACAATGCTTGACGTGTAGTGGACATTGATACAATGCTTGACGTGTAGTGGACATTGATACAATGCTTGACGTGTAGTGGACATTGATACAATGCTTGACGTGTAGTTGACATTGATACAATGCTTGACGTGTAGTTGACATTGATACAATGCTTGACTTGTAGTTGACATTGATACAATGCTTGACGTGTACCTTGATGTGTAATGGACATTGATACAATGCTTGACGTGTAATGGACATTGATACAATGCCTGACGTGTAGTTGACCTTGATACAATGCTTGACGTGTAGTTGACCTTGATACAATGCTTGACGTGTAGTGGGCATTGATACAATGCTTGACGTGTAGTTGACCTTGATACAATGCCTGACATGTAGTTGACCTTGATACAATGCTTGACTTGTAGTTGACCTTGATACAATGCTTGACGTGTAGTTGACATTGATACAATGCTTGACGTGTAGTGGACATTGATACAATGCTTGACGTGTGGTTGACCTTGATACAATGCTTGACGTGTAGTGGACATTGATACAATGCTTGACATGTAGTTGACATTGATACAATGCTTGACGTGTAGTTGTCATTGATACAATGCTTGACGTGTTGTGGACATTGATACAATGCTTGATGTGTAGTTGACCTTGATACAATGCTTGACTTGTAGTTGACCTTGATACAGTGCTTGACTTGTAGTTGACGTTGATACAATGCTTGACGTGAAGTTGACATTGATACAATGCTTGACGTGTAGTGGACATTGATACAATGCTTGACGTGTAGTGGACATTGATACAATGCTTGACGTGTAGTTGACATTGATACAATGCTTGACGTGTAGTGGACCTTGATACAATGCTTGACGTGTAGTTGACATTGATACAATGCTTGACATGTAGTGGACATTGATACAATGCCTGACTTGTAGGTGACACCAAAGATGCATTAGACGTAAAACAGTGAAACAATCTGCATCCCTGGTTAATGGTCAACCATTTGCGGCTAGAACATATTCATGGGTTTACATCTGTACCCCATCACAAGCCCTCGTGTCTTTGCGAGGATTAAAGATGTTAAAAAAAAGTAAAACATTTGAGATGATCCGCGAATCGAAATGCTTCACAGTACAATACATTATGACAAGGCTGGACACTTCAGTGTACCCTACCCGCCTGCTTTGCCGATCTCTAAGCTACCATCGCTGCAATCGATTAAAACTTAATGTAAACATAATTATGGATCATTGGCCTATCAAGCACCACTCATGACACCTACCAATTCTTTATTGTTATTTCTGCAAGTCGATTGAAACCCGATTTTAACCCCCAACTAAACTTGCTTTGACCACACACCCGTTTTGTGCGGCCATATCGTCATCCATTTGTGTCAAGATCGTTTAGTTAAGAGTCAAAATCGGGTTTGAGTCGACTTGCAGAAATAACAATAAAGAATTGGTAGGTTTCATGATTGGTGATCGATAGGCCAATCATCCATGATTATGTTCACATTAAGTTTTAATAGATAACTTAAGATGGTAGCGTTGCGAAGCAGGCGGGTGGGGTACAAAGCAGGTGGGTGGGGTACACCGAAGTGTCCGGCCTTGTCATAATGTATTGTACTGTGTAGCATTTCGAGTCGGGGGTCATCTCAAAAAACACTTTTTTTAATCTTTAATCTTCGCAAAGATACGAGGGCCTCTGTACCACATTACCTTTGTTTCCCAGCAATCTAATCCTGGCTGTTGTGACTGGAGGCCTGTCATGTATTGATAGTAAACTGGGAACACTGTAGGAGTGAGTGAGTGAGTGAGTTTAGTTTTACGCCGCACTCAGCAATATTCCAGCTATATGGCGGCGATCTGTAAATAATCGAGTCTGGACCAGACAATCCAGTGATCAACAGCATGCACATCGATCTGCGGAATTGGGAACCGATGACATGTGTCAACCTGGTCAGCAAGCCTGACCACCTGATCCCATTAGTCGCCTCTTGCGACAAGCATAGTTGCCTTTTGTGGCAAGCATGGGTTGCTGAAGACCTATTGTACCCCAGATCTTCACAGGTCGAGCACTGTAGGAGGTGGTGGGAGGTTAAGATACTGTAGTGAAAATTCCTCTGATTAATGTTTCATTCATCTTCCTTGTCATGTGTCATGTTGCATGTGCTACAGACCCCTTGTGTCGGCCAACTTCTCCGACAACCTGTTGACGGTCTTTCTGCTGCACATCCTGTCTGTCCCGGCCATCATATACCACATCTCCCACACGGCTCACTTAGGAGGTGAGGACACCAGGTGTTGCAGCATATCTGCATGTACACTAGCTGCTCACTTACAGGATGCAGTTAGGACACCAGGTTTTGCAGTATGTCTGCATGGGCACTAGCTGGTCACATAGGATGGAATTAGGACACTAGGTGTTGCAGCATATCTGAATGTATACTAGCTGCTCACTTACAGGATGCAGTTAGGACACCAGGTTTTGCAGTATGTCTGCATGGGCACTAGCTGGTCACATAGGATGGAATTAGGACACTAGGTGTTGCAGCATATCTGCATGTACACTAGCTGCTCACTTACAGGATGCAGTTAGGACACCAGGTTTTGCAGTATGTCTGCATGGGCACTAGCTGGTCACATAGGATGGAATTAGGATACTAGGTGTTGCAGCATATCTGAATGTATACTAGCTGCTCACTTACAGGATGCAGTTAGGACACCAGGTTTTGCAGTATGTCTGCATGGGCACTAGCTGGTCACATAGGATGGAATTAGGACACTAGGTGTTGCAGCATATCTGAATGTATACTAGCTGCTCACTTACAGGATGCAGTTAGGACACCAGGTTTTGCAGTATGTCTGCATGGGCACTAGCTGGTCACATAGGATGGAATTAGGACACTAGGTGTTGCAGCATATCTGAATGTATACTAGCTGCTCACTTAAAGGATGCAGTTAGGACACCAGGTGTCACAGTAGGTCTGCATGGGCACTAGCTGGTCACATAGGATGGAATTAGGACACTAGGTGTTGCAGCATATCTGAATGTATACTAGCTGCTCACTTACAGGATGCAGTTAGGACACCAGGTTTTGCAGTATGTCTGCATGGGCACTAGCTGGTCACATAGGATGGAATTAGGACACTAGGTGTTGCAGCATATCTGAATGTATACTAGCTGCTCACTTAAAGGATGCAGTTAGGACACCAGGTTTTGCAGTATGTCTGCATGGGCACTAGCTGGTCACATAGGATGGAATTAGGACACTAGGTGTTGCAGCATATCTGCATGTACACTAGCTGGTCACTTAAAGGATGCAGTTAGGACACCAGGTTTTGCAGTATGTCTGCATGGGCACTAGCTGGTCACATAGGATGGAATTAGGACACTAGGTGTTGCAGCATATCTGAATGTATACTAGCTGCTCACTTACAGGATGCAGTTAGGACACCAGGTTTTGCAGTATGTCTGCATGGGCACTAGCTGGTCACATAGGATGGAATTAGGACACTAGGTGTTGCAGCATATCTGCATGTATACTAGCTGCTCACTTAAAGGATGCAGATTCTGACAATTAGGACACCAGGTTTTGCAGTATGTCTGCATGGGCACTAGCTGGTCACATAGGATGGAATTAGGACACTAGGTGTTGCAGCATATCTGCATGTACACTAGCTGGTCACTTAAAGGATGCAGTTAGGACACCAGGTTTTGCAGTATGTCTGCATGGGCACTAGCTGGTCACATAGGATGGAATTAGGACACTAGGTGTTGCAGCATATCTGCATGTACACTAGCTGGTCACTTAAAGGATGCAGTTAGGACACCAGGTTTTGCAGTATGTCTGCATGGGCACTAACTGGTCACATAGGATGGAATTAGGACACTAGGTGTTGCAGCATATCTGAATGTACACTAGCTGCTCACTTACAGGATGCAGTTAGGACACCAGGTGTCACAGTAGGTCTGCATGGGCACTAGCTGGTCACATAGGATGGAATTAGGACACTAGGTGTTGCAGCATATCTGCATGTACACTAGCTGCTCACTTAAAGGATGCAGTTAGGACACCAGGTGTCACAGTATGTCTGCATGGGCACTAACTGGTCACATAGGATGGAATTAGGACACTAGGTGTTGCAGCATATCTGAATGTACACTAGCTGCTCACTTACAGGATGCAGTTAGGACACCAGGTGTCACAGTAGGTCTGCATGGGCACTAGCTGGTCACATAGGATGGAATTAGGACACTAGGTGTTGCAGCATATCTGCATGTACACTAGCTGCTCACTTAAAGGATGCAGTTAGGACACCAGGTTTTGCAGTATGTCTGCATGGGCACTAACTGGTCACATAGGATGGAATTAGGACACTAGGTGTTGCAGCATATCTGAATGTACACTAGCTGCTCACTTAAAGGATGCAGTTAGGACACCAGGTGTCACAGTAGGTCTGCATGGGCACTAGCTGGTCACATAGGATGGAATTAGGACACTAGGTGTTGCAGCATATCTGCATGTACACTAGCTGCTCACTTAAAGGATGCAGTTAGGACACCAGGTTTTGCAGTATGTCTGCATGGGCACTAACTGGTCACATAGGATGGAATTAGGACACTAGGTGTTGCAGCATATCTGAATGTACACTAGCTGCTCACTTAAAGGATGCAGTTAGGACACCAGGTGTCACAGTAAGTCTGCATGGGCACTAACTGGTCACATAGGATGGAATTAGGACACTAGGTGTTGCAGCATATCTGAATGTACACTAGCTGCTCACTTACAGGATGCAGTTAGGACACCAGGTGTCACAGTAGGTCTGCATGGGCACTAGCTGGTCACATAGGATGGAATTAGGACACTAGGTGTTGCAGCATATCTGCATGTACACTAGCTGCTCACTTAAAGGATGCAGTTAGGACACCAGGTTTTGCAGTATGTCTGCATGGGCACTAACTGGTCACATAGGATGGAATTAGGACACTAGGTGTTGCAGCATATCTGAATGTACACTAGCTGCTCACTTAAAGGATGCAGTTAGGACACCCGGGGTCGCAGCAGGTCTGCATGGGCACTAGCTGGTCACATAGGATGGAATTAGGACACTAGGTGTTGCAGCATATCTGAATGTACACTAGCTGCTCACTTACAGGATGCAGTTAGGACACCAGGTGTCACAGTATGTCTGCATGGGCACTAGCTGGTCACATAGGATGAAATTAGGATACTAGGTGTTGCAGCATATCTGAATGTACACTAGCTGCTCACTTACAGGATGCAGTTAGGACACCAGGTGTCACAGTATGTCTGCATGGGCACTAGCTGGTCACATAGGATGAAATTAGGATACTAGGTGTTGCAGCATATCTGAATGTACACTAGCTGCTCACTTACAGGATGCAGTTAGGACACCCGGGGTCGCAGTAGGTCTGCATGGGCACTAGCTGGTCACATAGGATGGAATTAGGACACTAGGTGTTGCAGCATATCTGAATGTACACTAGCTGCTCACTTACAGGATGCAGTTAGGACACCAGGTGTCACAGTAGGTCTGCATGGGCACTAGCTGGTCACATAGGATGAAATTAGGATACTAGGTGTTGCAGCATATCTGAATGTACACTAGCTGCTCACTTACAGGATGCAGTTAGGACACCAGGTGTCACAGTAGGTCTGCATGGGCACTAGCTGATCACATATGGGATCAAATTAGGTCATCGGGTGTTCTTCCATTTTTGCATATAGAGTCTAGTCTGGTTACGATAAGTGTTTTGCGATGTGGTGGAATTAGGACACTAGGTGTTGCAGCATATTTGCACATACTCTAGCTTGGTTACAATGTGGATGGAGTTAGGACACCAGGTGTCACAGCATATTTGTATATACTCTAACCTGGTAACAGTAAGGTGAATTAGGACACCGGGTGTCTCATATTTGTATATACTCTAGCCTAGTTACAATAACTGTAATTATGACACCAGGTGTCACAGCATATTTGTGTATACTCTAGCTTGGTTACAATAACTGTGTAATAGGACACCAGGTGTCTCACATTTGTATATACTCTAGCCTAGTTACAATAACTGTAATTATGACACCAGGTGTCACAGCATATTTGTATATACTCTAGCTTGGTTACAATAACTGTGTAATAGGACACCAGGTGTCTCACATTTGTATATACTCTAGCCTGGTTACAATAACTGTAATTAGGACGCCAGGTGTGAAAACATGTCTGCATATATATACTAGCTGGTCATATAAAGGATGGAACAAGGACTAATTAATTGGCTTTTAACATGGCTGTTCAGCCAATCCTCAGGCATTTGTACAGTGAAATAGTGTGTGTTGAAGAAGCAGTGTTTTGCGATGGGGTGTATAGCTGGCTACATAATATAATGGTGGTTATTGCCCTTTGGGGTATGTTCATTCTGGTGAGGAGATGGAACATTCAAACTGGAAACTGCTGTAGATCTTCTAGGTGTTAAGCATGTGTGATAGATATACAGATATTGTTTGGTTCACTGACTGAGTTTGGTTTTACGCCGCTTTTAGCAATATTCCAACAATATCACGGCGGGGGACACCAGAAATGGGCTTAACACATTGTGCCCATGTGGGGAATCGAACCCGGGTCTTCGGCGTGACGAGCCAACGCTTTAACCACTAGGCTACCCCACCGCCCCGTTTGGTTCACAGATTTGTTGACCTTAACTTAACTTAACAAAAGTTCAACAAATCTCAACTTGCTTGGGAGCCTTTTTTCAAACCTTTGAATCAGTCAGATGTTAAGCCAACAATAGGCTAACACCATAAATATAAAACGCTGATTCATAAAGTGTAATTCATAAAATGTGTAAGTATATAAGTTCCTCCTGTTTTCAGTGCATGTCTTCACTGATCACACATCGGATCTTCAAGCGGTGCTTGGACCTGATGACCATTGAACAGAGTACTCGCATCATTTTCAACTCCCTTGAAGGAAACTATGCCCTCTGTCTCATGGGTGAGTGGTTGTACATAGAGTGATCACCCTTTGATGCAAGCCTCTGTATCATGGGTGAGTGGCTGTACTTTAGAGTAATCTCCCTTTGATGCAGTATCATACAGACCTTTGGGTTACACACCACCAAATGTTTTCCCATAGACTTCTATAGTAACCTTATAATTTTTGAAAAAATAGACAGGCTATCAACAGCCATTCCATGTACACATGGGTACACTCTGGCCTTTAAACTACCAGAAAAACAGAATATCAGGCCAACTTGTCCGGCTCATTTTGCGAGCACAGGAAGCGGAACACATCAAACCCAGCTCCGCACCAAATGTCACCTACTGGAAAATATCTGTACACACAATAAGCATAAGTGATGGTGATAAAAATAACAGCACTGAATACTTAAAATTGTGGTCAGTTTTAATTACTGGTTGCATATGCTTTTTAAAAACATAAACATCTTACACTATTTCATCCAATCACAGCTGTCACATGTCTCTGTCTCTCTTGACTTGTTTACATACGGACCGGCTCAGTGAGCAAGCAATACTGTTTTTGTGTAGTTGAACCTATATGTGAGTGGCTGTACTTTAGAGTAATCTCCCTTTGATATAGCTATGCTCATGCCAATTCTAAGCATGAAAAAACTGAAAATGCGAAGTCTCATGCCAAAAGATTTTTTGGGGTGTGTGTGTGTGTGTGTGTGTGTTTTTTTTGGGGTAGATTTGGATGAAAAGTCTAATAATTCATCTATTTTGGCTTTATTCCATTTGTGGTAGTAATAAACATTTTTTGGGTGTTTCAGCCAACCTGATCCACCTTGGATACACAGAGCTGGAGGTACGGTAGCAGTGGTGTTGATAATCATCCTGAAGGAAATCCAGCATGAGTTGACATCTGTTAGTCCCACGCAGATCGGGGTTGGAACTAGTATGCAGCCACCCATACTTGTTGTAAGAGGCGACTTTATGAATGGAGGGGCGGTGGGGTAGCCTAGTGGTTCAAGCGTTGGCTCGTCACGCCGAAGACCCGGGTTCGATTCCCCACATGGGCACAATGTGTTAAGCCCATTTCTGGTGTCCCCCGCCGTGATATTGCTGGAATATTGCTAAAAGCGGCGTAAAACTAAACTCACTCACTCACTCACTTTATGAATGGTCAGAAGTTATCACTTGTTCATGTTTGTCATAGTATCCTGACGACCAACATGATGTAGAGGTTAGAGCTTCCGCCCGGAGCACGGAAGATCGCAGGTTTGATCCCAGGCCACGTCATAGCAACAATGTTAAAATGGGGTACTTGTTGGTCCCTGCTTGGTGCTCAGCATTTATGGGTACAACAAGGACTGGTCGGTTCGGATTCAGTAAAGTGTGTCTGAGTGGGGTATTCATGCTTTACTGCGGCATGGTATCTCAGTGGGCTGGCACTATAAAACCAGCTGAAGTCTTGGCTAGTACAAGCAGCCACACACACACATACACACGCATGCACATCGTCATACGAGCGAATAATATTCCTAAGTAAGACATTAAACCCCATTTCACCTCACCTCATAATATCCCCATTAATCAAACAAAACCAGTTGCTGTGTGGTGGCAAGGAAACACCTCAAGGGTTGCAAGTTGTCCCCAGTTGCCCAGACCCGGCACAAGCAGTTGCACTGAATCATGGTTGATTTCTACAACACCCCACCCATGTTGTCTGTGAGAAGTGACTGACAGGATCGGATGGTCAGACTGGCTTACTTGGTATTCCATTTGCTTAGGTTAATGCTCACAATGTCAGTCACAGGATTGTCAGGTCCAGACACAGTTTATCAGTCTGGAATATGGGTGAGTGTGGCATTAAGCAACTGACACAATAAAGTGAAGTTTGTTCAACAAGTCTGAGATTGGTGTCTAGGGAGTACACAACACCTGACATGTGTTTGTTTGTTCAACAAGTCTGAGATTGGTGTCTAGGGAGTACACGACACCTGACATGTGTTTGTTTGTTACAGGGACTGGTGGAGAACACAATGAGCTTCATGGTAAGTGATGATGTTCCAACATATTATTTACCTTCACTGTGATGTCCCGAAATGTTCGTGGACACATACAGATGGACAGGATTGTAATAACGTGTCCTGCTTAAAATTTTAGCTTTCAAAATGGCTGTTTGAGTGTGTTGTATCTCGAATGAGACATAGCAACCATCCTTTCCCAGACGGTACAGTTATCGTGTTGACATGGTTTCAGATTGTTATGATCCGGCTTCTAGAGAGCTGTAAGATGTATGTCCAAAACAAGAGGTCAAACCTGACTCACTGGCACCCTGTCCTGGGCTGGTTCTCCCAGAACACAGACCAAAGGTGAGATCTGAAACAACAGGTCAGAGGGGAGAACTGTAATGTGAAATTTCCTGTTGTATATATCCTGATTAATAGGTAGAAATATTGTATATACCCTGATGATGTTGTTGTATTCGGCCGGCCTGCACTGCACGAGGCGATGAGCCGTAGATATATTGTATATACCCTGATGATGTATTCCGCCAGCCTGCACGAGGCGATGAGCCGTAGATATATTGTATATACCCTGATGACGTGATTCTGCAAGCCTGCACGAGGCGATGAGCCGTAGATATATTGTATATACCCTGATGACGTATTCCACCAGCCTGCATGAGGCGATGAGCCGTAGATATATTGTATAACCCTGATGACGTTGTTGTATTCTGCCAGCCTGCACGAGGCGATGCCGTATGTGGTGAAGCAGCTGCAGCTACTGTGGAGTGAGAGAATGATCCGTCTCTTGTTCTCCGTCCTACTGGAGTATGTGGAGACCACACAGAACAACTCCACGGTGCACTCTCCCAGCTCACCCACAAGAAGTAAGTCACCACAGGAACTCACCAACTAGTAGTAAGTCACCACTGGAGCTCACCCACAAGTAGTAAGTCACCACAGGAAATCACCAACTAGTAGTAAGTCACCACAGGAGCTCACCCACACAGTAGTAAGTCACCACAGGATCTCGCCCAACTCACCCACAAATAGTAAGTCACCACAGGAACTCACCCACTAGTAGTAAGTTACCACAGGAGCTCACCCACTGGTAGTAAGTCACCACAGGAACTCACCCACTAGTAGTAAGTCACAACAGGAACTCGCCCAACTCACCCACAAGTAGTAAGTCGTCACAGGAACTCACCCACTAGTAGTAAGTCACCACAGGATCTCGCCCAACTCACCCACAAATAGTAAGTCACCACAGGAACTCACCCACTAGTAGTAAGTTACCACAGGAGCTCACCCACTGGTAGTAAGTCACCACAGGAACTCACCCACTAGTAGTAAGTCACCACAGGAACTCGCCCAACTCACCGACAAATAGTAAGTCACCACAGGAACTCACCCACTGGTAGTAAGTCACCACAGGAACTCACCCACTAGTACTAAGTCACCACAGGAACTCGCCCAACTCACCGACAAATAGTAAGTCACCACAGGAACTCACCCACTAGTAGTAAGTTACCACAGGAGCTCACCCACAAGTAGTAAGTCACCACAGGATCTCGCCCAACTCACCCACAAATAGTAAGTCACCACAGGAACTCACCCACAAGAAGTAAGCCACCACAGGAACTCACCAACTAGTAGTAAGTCACCACTGGAGCTCACCCACAAGTAGTAAGTCACCACAGGAAATCACCAACTAGTAGTAAGTCACCACAGGAACTCGCCCAACTCACCCACTAGTAGTAAGTCACCACAGGAGCTCACCCACAAGTAGTAAGTCACCACAGGAACTCACCCACTAGTAGTAAGTTACCACAGGAGCTCACCCACTGGTAGTAAGTCACCACAGGAACTCACCCACTAGTAGTAAGTCACCACAGGAACTTGCCCAACTCACCCACAAGTAGTAAGTCGCCACAGGAACTCACCCACTAGTAGTAAGTCACCACAGGATCTTGCCCAACTCACCCACAAGTAGTAAGTCACCACAGGAACTCACCCACTAGTAGTAAGTCACCACAGGAGCTCACCCACTGGTAGTAAGTCACCACAGGAACTCACCCACTAGTAGTAAGTTACCACAGGAACTCGCCCAACTCACCCACAAGTAGTAAGTCACCACAGGAACTCACCCACTAGTAGTGTCACCACAGGATCTCGCCCAACTCACCCACAAATAGTAAGTCACCACAGGAACTCACCCACTAGTAGTAAGTCACCACAGGAACTCGCCCAACTCACCCACAAGTAGTAAGTCACCACAGGAGCTCCCCCCAACTCACCCACAAATAGTAAGTCACAACAGGAACTCACCCACAAGTAGTAAGTCACCACAGGAACTCACCCACTAGTAGTAAGTCACCACAGGAACTCGCCCAACTCACCCACAAGTAGTAAGTCACCACAGGAACTCACCCACAAGTAGTAAGTCAGCACAGGAACTCACCCACTAGTAGTAAGTCACCACAGGAACTCACCCACAAGTAGTAAGTCACCACAGGAACTCACCCGCTAGTAGTAAGTCACCAAAGGAACTCACCCACAGAAGTAAGTACTCACAATTCTTACTTTCATTCCAGCAACCTCACTTCTCCATATCACTTACACAGCTCACCCACCCAGCTCACTTCTCCCATTTTAATGACCCCTTTCATCAACCTGGCCCCCTCATCTATCTTACTCATCCATCCAGGCTGATATCGCTGTAGGTTGCTGACTTCAGTGTATACAATATTACAATATTAATGTTTGCAGATATCCTGAAGAAAGCCCTGGTGAAGGCATCTTCATCAAAGACCGTCAACCCCAAGATCAAACTGGACAGCTCTGTGGCCACTTCCACTTGCATGCCGTGTGCCTTGTATCGAACCGCCTTACAGACCCTCTCACAACTCAGGTCCGACATTCTTGGAGGTATGACACCAGCCGTCAGAAAGCTCCTAGTGGGGATATCTGGTTATAGGCGGCAACTATTGATTGGTGGCTCTAGCTCAGCACCAAACACTGGTCAGATGAAGCGACTGTGAACAGGCTACTTTTGATCAGATGATCAGGTTCTGTGACTTGCAGCTAGAATGTATATCACTGGATTGTCTGATCCCCATTTGAGGGGACCCATTTGAGGGGACCGTTTTGTAAAGTCCATGTCTCCATTTCTTAAACAGCTGAGGTCCATTATTCTTAATAAGTTATGAAGACTTTCCTTAGTTGAAACATGACCCTACTTAAAGATCTAGACAAGATATTTGAAAGAGGTGTGTATAATGTATAGCAAAGGTTGGCTATGGATTAGGAGTGCAGGGAATGAAACCAATGACATCACAGATAATTTTAGCCCATCGTCCTGTATCAGGAGTATTGCTGGGTGCTTCAGTAAATAATACACAACAAGCAAACTAACAACATCTACCTGATTTGAGTTGTCAGGGAAATAGTTTGACCTTGTAGTGACAGGTCATGTGTATGTCTTACATTTGTGCAGGACTAAGCTATAACGAGACGCTCCTGCCCATCCTGTGGCGATTCCTGTCAGACTTGGGCCCAAGTTGTGGTTTAAAGACTTTCCTGGACCTGTTGGGCCAAGCGCCCAACTCTACCATCCACCCTGTGTTCAGTCTCCTCACCCTCTTCTGTGAAACATCCAGCCATCTCATCATGTAAGTAGCTCCAGCCATCTCATCATGTAAGTAGCTCCAGCCATATCATGTAAGTAGCTCCAGCCATCTCATCATGTAAGTAGCTCCAGCCATCTCATCATGTAAGTAGCTCCAGCAACCTCATCATGTAAGTAGCTCCAGCCATCTCATCATGTAAGTAGCTCCAGCCATCTCATCATGTAAGTAGCTCCAGCAACCTCATCATGTAAGTAGCTCCAGCAACCTCATCATGTAAGTAGCTCCAGCCATCACATCATGTAAGCAGCTCCAGCCATCTCATCATGTAAGTAGCTCCCCAGCCATCTCATCATGTAAGTAGCTCCCCAGCAATCTAACCATGTAAGCAGCTCAAGATCTCCAACTTCCTCACCATGTGACTGCCTTGATTTCTGACTTCCTTGATCGCTGACTTCCTCACAATCTGACTGCCTTGATTTCTGACTTCCTTGATCTCTGACTTCCTCACAATCTGACTGCCTTGATTTCTGACTTCCTTGATCTCTGACTTCCTCACAATCTGACTGCCTTGATCTCCAACTTCCTCACAATCTGACTGCCTTGATTTCTGACTTCCTTGATCTCTGACTTCCTCACAATCTGACTGCCTTGATTTCTGACTTCCTTGATCTCTGACTTCCTCACAATCTGACTGCCTTGATTTCTGACTTCCTTGATCTCTGACTTCCTCACAATCTGACTGCCTTGATCTCTAACTTCCTCACAAACTGACTGCCTTGATCTCTGACTTCCTCACCATCTGACTGCCTTGATCTCTGACTTCCTCACAATCTGACTGCCTTGATCTCCAACTTCCTCACAAACTGACTGCCTTGATCTCTGACTTCCTCACCATCTGACTGCCTTGATCTCTGACTTCCTTGATCTCTGACTTCCTCACAATCTGACTGCCTTGATCTCTGACTTCCTTGATCTCTGACTTCCTCACAATCTGACTGCCTTCATCTCCAACTTCCTCACAAACTGACTGCCTTGATCTCTGACTTCCTCACCATCTGACTGCCTTGATCTATGACTTCCTCACAATCTGACTGCCTTGATCTCTGACTTCCTTGATCTCTGACTTCCTCACCATCTGACTGCCTTGATCTCTGACTTCCTCGCCATCTGACTGCCTTGATCTCTGACTTCCTTGATCTCTGACTGCCTTGATCTCTGACTTCCTTGATCTCTGACTTCCTCACAATCTGACTGCCTTGATCTCCAACTTCCTCACAAACTGACTGCCTTGATCTCTGACTTCCTCACCATCTGACTTCCTTGATCTCTGACTTCCTCACAATCTGACTGCCTTGATCTCCAACTTCCTCACAATCTGACTGCCTTGATCTCCAACTTCCTCACAAACTGACTGCCTTGATCTCCAACTTCCTCACCATCTGACTTCCTTGATCTCTGACTTCCTCACAATCTGACTGCCTTGATCTCTAACTTCCTCACAATCTGACTGCCTTGATCTCCAACTTCCTCACAAACTGACTGCCTTGATCTCTGACTTCCTCACAATCTGACTGCCTTGATCTCCAACTTCCTCACAAACTGACTGCCTTGATCTCCAACTTCCTCACCATCTGACTGCCTTGATCTCTGACTTCCTCACCATCTGACTGCCTTGATCTCCAACTTCCTCACAAACTGACTGCCTTGATCTCTGACTTCCTCGCCATCTGACTTCCTCACAATCTGACTGCCTTGATCTCTGACTTCCTCACAATCTGACTGCCTTGATTTCTGACTTCCTTGATCTCTGACTTCCTCACAATCTGACTGCCTTGATCTCCAACTTCCTCACCATCTGACTGCCTTGATTTCTGACTTCCTTGATCTCTGACTTCCTCACAATCTGACTGCCTTGATTTCTGACTTCCTTGATCTCTGACTTCCTCACCATCTGACTTCTTTGATCTCTGACTTAACAATAATAATAACAATAATAATAACAATAATAATAACAACAATAACAATAATATAATAATAATAATAATAATAATAATAATAATAATAATAATAATAATAATAATAATAATAATAATAATAATAATAATAATAATAATAATAATAATAATAATAATAATAATAATAATAATAATAATAATAATAATAATAATAATAATAATAATAATAATAATAATAATAATAATAATAATAATAATAATAATAATAATAATAATAATAATAATAATAATAATAATAATAATAATAATAATAATAATAATAATAATAATAATAATAATAATAATAATAATAATAATAATAATAATAATAATAATAATAATAATAATAATAATAATAATAATAATAATAATAATAATAATAATAATAATAATAATAATAATAATAATAATAATAATAATAATAATAATAATAATAATAATAATAATAATAATAATAATAATAATAATAATAATAATAATAATAATAATAATAATAATAATAATAATAATAATAATAATAATAATAATAATAATAATAATAATAATAATAATAATAATAATAATAATAATAATAATAATAATAATAATAATAATAATAATAATAATAATAATAATAATAATAATAATAATAATAATAATAATAATAATAATAATAATAATAATAATAATAATAATAATATAATAATAATAATAATAATAATAATAATAATAATAATAATAATAATAATCCATAATAATAATAATAATATAATAATATAATAATAATAATAATAATAATAATAACACAATAATAATATCCATCAATAATAATAAATAATAATAATATAATAACAAATAACAATATCCAATAATAACAATAATAATAATAATAATAATAATAATCAATAATAATAATAACAATATCCAATAATAATAACACAATAATAATAATCCATCATAATAACACAATAACAATATCCATCATAATAACACAATAACAATATCCATCATAATAACACAATAATCATAATAACACAATCCCATCATAATAACACAATAACAATATCCATCATAATAACACAATAACAATATCCACCAATAATAACATAACAATAACAATATCCACCATAATAACACAATAACAATATCCACCATAATAACACAATAACAATATCCACCATAATAACACAATATCCACCATAATAACAATATCCATCATAATAACACAATAACAATATCCACCATAATAACACAATAACAATATCCATCATAATAACACAATAACAATATCCATCCATCATAATAACACAATAACAGGTATCCATATATAACACAATAACAATATCCACCATAATAACACAATAACAATATCCACAATAACACAATAACAATATCCATCATAATAACACAATAACAATATCCAATAATAACAATAACAATATCCAATAATAACACAATAACAATATCCATCATAATAACACAATAACAATATCCATCATAATAACACAATAACAATATCCATCATAATAACACAATAACAATATCCATCATAATAACACAATAACAATATCCATCATAATAACACAATAACAATATCCATCATAATAACACAATAACAATATCCACCATAATAATAAATAACAATATCAATAACACAATAACAATATCCATCATAATAACACAATAACAATATCCACCATAATAACACAATAACAATATCCACCATAATAACACAATAACAATATCCATCATAATAACACAATAACAATATCCACCATAATAACACAATAACAATATCCATCATAATAACACAATAACATCCACCATCAAATAACACAATAACAATATCCACCATAATAACACAATAACAATATCCACCATAATAACACAATAACAATATCCACCATAATAACACAATAACAATATCCACCATAATAACACAATAACAATATCCACCATAATAACAATAACAATATCCACCATAATAACAATAACAATATCCACCATAATAACACAATAACAATATCCACCATAATAACACAATAACAATATCCACCATAATAACACAATAACAATATCCACCATAATAACACAATAACAATATCCACCATAATAACACAATAACAATATCCATCATAATAACACAATAACAATATCCACCATAATAACACAATAACAATATCCACCATAATAACACAATAACAATATCCACCATAATAACACAATAACAATATCCACCATAATAACACAATAACAATATCCATCATAATAACACAATAACAATATCCATCACAACAATAATAACACAATAACAATACATTCAACTGTTCCTCAGCAACATATGATCATAGTGAAATAACAATAAAAATAACACAATCAGTGAATTTCAAGCAATAAAAACTCAGTGAATTTGCGGATTTGACTGTTCCTTGTTGTAGTGCTGTGTGTTGACCTAAGTGAGCATTGATGAGTTCTCACTGACACTGTGTTAATGTATATGGTGCGATGTTCCAGACATCCAGACTGCAGGCTGGAGCGATGTGTTCTCCTCCTCCTGGAACCTGCTGATGATCCTCCATGAGCGAGATGCACGCCGCAGCTACACACAGAGTCACCACTGGCTGGTCAGGTCCGTGTCATGGAGCACCATGCAGCTGATTAATCAGCAAACTTGAAACTCCACAGACTGCTTCTCATTAATTTCTTGTAAATCTCTCTTCCCGTGAATATCTGGGTTAGAATTGGTCTAATTGGTTAGCTTTACGTAAGAAGGGATAAACGGGATTGGATGGTAAGCCTTGCTGACTGGGTTGACACATGTCATCATATCCCAATTGAGTAGATCGATGTTCATACTGTTATCACTGGATTGTCTGGTCCAGACTCGATTATTTAGACCGACGCTGTATAGCTGGAATATTGCTGAGTGTGTGGTTAAACAACAACCAAACCTATCTCTTTGTTAAGCTCATGAGTGGACAAAGTCCTCTAAGGTAAGTTCTCTGTACAGAGTTACATCCCTTAGGTGTGTCAGGAGTTTATGATGGTAGGTTCAAATCTCTCAGATTTACCCTTATTACAGCACTTTGTTTTCAGCAAGAATTCATCAAAGTATTGAATCTGAGTCAGTTCTGGTTCTTCTCCTTTAGGCTGTCATGTTAAGCATTTTTCAGTTGGAGTTGTGTTTTGAGCCGGAGCGTGTATGTTTGGTTGCTGCAGGGATATGAAGGCAAGTCAGTTCATGGGGGAGCTGGAGAGAGGCAGGAAGACTGTACAGTTCCTTATGCAGAAAGTGCCCCATATCATTCCATTCCATGAGGTAAGGGGCAAGTAGGACAGGCTGCTTGAATTGATCTGTAGGTTTGCCATAGTGGTGAATGACAGAACCTGATTCGTGGACAATGGTAATTAAGCACTGATAGGTGCTTATCACCTAAAATTATTGTTTTTAGTTATGTAGCTGGCTTCCATGTCATCATTATCATCAGTCAGTGCCATTATCCCCCCTTGCCACCAGTTGACGAATACCTATCAGTGCTTGATTACATATTGTCAACTACCTGTCAGTGCTTAATTAGCGATTGTGCACAACCGATGAGTGCTTAATTACCCATTGTCCACTAACTGTCAGTGCTTAATTACACATTGTCCATTACCTATTAGTACTCAATTATCCATAACCAGTACCTCTCAGTGCTTGATTACCCATTGTCCAGTACGTATCAGTACTCAATTATCCATTGTCCAGTACCTCTCAGTGCTTAATGACCCATTATCCACTTAAGATCACTGCTTACTTACCCATTGTCCACTACCTATCAGTGCTTAATTACCATTGCCCACTAATTATCAGTACTTAATTACCCATTGTCCAGTACCTGTCAGAACTCAATTACCCATTGTTCACTACCTGTCAGTGCTTCATTACCCATTACCCATTGTCTGTTACCTATGAGTACTCAATTGCCCATTGTCCAGTACCTGTCAGTGCTTGATTACCCTTTGTCCAGTACATATCACTGCTTAATTCCCCATTGTTCACTGCCCATCAGTGCTTGATTGCCCATTGTCCAATACCTATCAGTGCTTGATTGCCCATCAATGTTATTTCTCCTCCAAATCAATACATACACCCGGGAGTTACTCCCATGCCAACAAAATAGTTCATCAGGACGCTGATCTGTGTGTAAAATACACTCGTAAACTTGGCATTTCTTTCAGGGAGTTATATTATTCTGCAAGAATGTGGCTACTGGGCTGTATGTAAAGTAGACTTGTAATCTTGGTGTTTGTTTCAGGGAGTTATATTATTCCGTAAGAATGTGGCTACTGGTCTGTATGTAAAGTAGACATGTAATCTTGGTGTTTGTTTCAGAGAGTTATATTATTCCGTAAGAATGTGTCAAAGGAGAAGGATGCACTGGGTCTGACAGAGTCGGTGTGCACCTCCCCCCAGTCGACACTCATCACTGTGCATAGAAGCCGCATCGTTGAGGTATGGTATAGGGCTTGTGTTGTTGATGTAATGGTTTAGGGATGGCATCGTTGAGGTACGGGTGTAGGGCTAATATCCGTGAGGGTTGGGTGAAGGGCTGGCATCTTTGTGGTTTGGGTGAAGGGCTGGCATCTTTGAGGTTTGGGTGAAGAGATGGCATCCTTGAGGTAAAGGTGAAGGGCTGGCATCTTTGAGGTAAGGGTGAAGGGATGGCATCCTTGAGGTAAGGGTGAAGGGATGGCATCCTTGAGGTAAGGGTGAAGGGCTGGCATCTTTGATTTATGGGTGAAGGGATGGCATCCTTGAGGTAAGGGTGAAGGGCTGGCATCCTTCAGGTAAGGGTGAAGGGATGGCATCCTTGAGGTAAGGGTGAAGGGATGGCATCGTTGAGATATGGGTGAAGGGCTGGCATCCTTGAGGTAAGGGTGAAGGGTTGGCATCTTTGAGGGAAGGGTGAAGGGCTGGCATCTTTGAGGTAAGGGTGAAGGGCTGGCATCTTTGTGGTTTGGGTGAAGGGCTGGCATCTTTGAGGTTTGGGTGAAGAGATGGCATCCTTGAGGTGTGGGTGAAGGGCTGGCATCTTTGAGGTAAGGGTGAAGGGATGGCATCCTTGAGGTAAGGGTGAAGGGGTGGCATCCTTGAGGTAAGGGTGAAGGGATGGCATCTTTGATTTTTGGGTGAAGGGATGGCATCCTTGAGGTAAGGGTGAAGGGCTGGCATCCTTGAGGTTTGGGTGAAGGGCTGGCATCGTTGAGGTAAGGGTGAAGGGCTGGTATCGTTGAGGTAAGGGTGAAGGACTGGCATCTTTGAGGTTTGGGTGAAGGGCTGGAATCCTTGAGGTGTGGGTGAAGGGCTGGTATCGTTGAGGTTTGGGTGAAGGGCTGGTATCGTTGAGGTAAGGGTGAAGGGCTGGCATCTTTGAGGTTTGGGTGAAGGGCTGGCATCCTTGAGGTAAGGGTGAAGGGCTGGCATTGTTGAGGTTTCTGTTTTTTATTTTATTGTGTGTGTTGGTGAGTGTTTGCTGGTGTTTGTGTTCCAGGACGGGTATCGGCAGCTGGCCCAGCTCCCATCACGAGCTATGAAGGGGGTCATCAGGGTCAAGTTCATCAATGAACAGGTCAGGGACATCATATATATGAGGTAGACAAAAATAATGTTGTGGCTCCGATTACACATCTTTAAAATTTAGGGTAGATAGGTAGAATTTTTCCATTTTTTTTAGACATAAAGTACAAACTAATAAATAGCACATTTATCAATAAGTAGTCATTTATTCAATGAAGTTTCAGATTGAGATTCCTAGCACTAGACCGATGTCCATCGGTGCCAGGTAAACACGATGGTATCTGAAAGCTTATTTTATACATCCCACTAGAAAACATAGCATCGGCACCAGAATTCAAGGGTAGGTTTGGTAATCGGAACCACAACATTTGTTTTTTAGGCCTGAAGTAAATCACTGAGATCTGTTGATGACAACCTTTTCGTAATTGGATGTCAGTTAGTTATCAGTAATATTGATAAGTTTGAATTTCCCAACTGGCGTCTGTTTAATTGCATTAAATTTCTTGGTCATTTGGACCTTTGATGGCTCTTCTGGTAACCTGAACACAAAGACTCATGACATATCTCACTGTGTGTCTCACTTAGGGCCTGGATGAGGCTGGTATCGACCAGGATGGAGTGTTTAAGGAGTTCCTGGAAGAGACCATCGCCAGAGTGTTTGATCCTGCTCTCAATCTGTTTAAGGTCAGTGGGCTGAGATGTGGGACTTATTGAATACTTTGGCAATCTCATTATCTAGCTGTCAGTTGACCTACAAGTGCCTGTAATTGTGACAACCAATGACCTTTACAGGTCACAGTGATAATGCTGGAATACTGTTGCTGCAGCTGTCAATATATGTTTAGAACTTAACCGCATAAACTTAAGTTTTCACACCGATCGAGTAAGAACATGTCTCAATGAGTGTGGTTGCTGGCCACACAGACTTCCAACAGGGAGCCAAGAATAGGTGCAGGGATTCGATTCTTAACCCAGTAACCCACTCTTGTTGTAAGAGGCGACCAACGGGATCAGGTGGTCAGGCTCGCTGACTTGGTTGACAACATGTCATCGGTTCCCAATGTGTGTATATCGATGTTCATGCTGTTGATCATGGATTGTCTGGTCCAGACTTGATTATAAATTTACAGACCAACGCCGTATACCTGGAATATTGCTGAATGCGGTGTTAAACACAAACCGACCTACTATTCTGAGCAGACTCCCCACTGTATTGTCTGTCTGTTTTGCAGGTGACGAGCGAGCAGAAGCTATACCCCTCGTCCACCTCCTACATCCAGGAGAACCACTTGGCTCTGTTTGAGTTTGTGGGCAAGATGCTGGCCAAGGCCCTCTATGAGGTGGGTACAGCAACTGTAACATGCAGTTAGTCTTTTCAGTTTTACTTCCTGGTTTGTTGGTGAGACTGGAGGATACAATATTATGTTGTACACTTTCTGTTGTGACATATTTGTTCTCTCTTCCCAGGGTATTGTTGTAGACATTCCGTTCGCCCCCTTCTTCCTGACGCAGCTCCTGGGGCGCCAACAGAGCTCCACCTACAGCTCCCTGGATGAGCTGCCCTCCCTTGACCCTGAGCTGGCAAAGAGCCTCACCTACATCAAGGTAAGACACACTCAGTACCTACATCATGAAACACAAAAGAAGTCAACAGATCTTTGCCACGATGTTGCGTGATTCTGTATATGTTTGGCAGCACTACGACGGAGACATGTGTGACCTTGAGCTGACCTTCTCCTGTGACGAGGATTGCATGGGGCGGCTGGAAACTCATGAGTTGGTTCCAGGAGGGAAGGCCATCTCCGTCACCAACGAGAACAAGTAAGTCAGAACCCTGTATATATTCCGACACAGACAAGTGCCTGTTGGTGGGAAATCAAATTTTCTTCAAATCAAGAGGTAGTGAACCGGTTTTCAATAATATTATTATATTGTGCTCTTATGTTTTGGTGTGAGATGCTGCAACAAAGTGTCTGCAAGCAATATGACCGAAAAATGTTTGCCTGAAAGTTGGGCTGCCACATGCAGGATGTAGCTGAAGGGCTGAGTGTGTGTAAGATGGTGAACCCTGACAACGTGGGACAGTGTGCAGGATGTCCCCGGTTGGCAGGTCCTGATTCAGTAGCTGGAACATTGCTGGGTGTTTTACAAGAAACAAACATTCTTGAGCTCACTCATGCACACAGCTGCCTGCCTGCTTCTCCCCCAGGGGTAGACTAGAGGCTGAATCCAACAGAAGGTGTGGGCCCAATTCCTAAACACTGATACAATGGGAGATTGTTGGAATGTTGCCAAAAGTATAATGTTGCACTCACTCACTCCAGGATCCGCTATGTACACCTGATGGCCCACTTCCGAATGTACCGCCAGATCAAGGAGCAGACGTTGGCCTTCATTAGAGGGTTCAAGGCCGTCGTCAACCCCGACTGGTTACAGATGTTCTCCGCGCCTGAACTCCAGAAACTCATCTCCGGGGACAACATGGAGGTCGATATCGAGGACCTCAGGTAGGCTGCCAGTTCAGAATTGAACAACATTGAGGTCACTGTACAGGAAGACTCACCACTTGACAAATAAGGATCATGAGAAAAAAATGGCAGGTCATCTAAACAAATTCAGTAGATATGAGACAATTACTATGGGCTTCTTGTATATAGACACAGAGTATTGCTCAGTATATTGTTGTACACTTCCTTTGGTCTCAGTTCGATGAATCTGAAAGCAGAGGACCCCTTGACTTTTATGCTTAAAAAGTCTGAACACTGATGTGAGAACCTGGAGGGAGATAGATAACTTTATCATTTTGTTCACTCATCAGTGAATGGGTACCTGGTAGGATATGGACAACTTTATCATTTTGTTCACTCATCAGTGATTGGGTACCTCGTAGGATATGGACAACTTTATCATTTTGTTCACTCATCAGTGAATGGGTACCTGGTAGGATATGGACAACTTTATCATTTTGTTCACTCATCAGTGATTGGGTACCTCGTAGGATATGGACAACTTTATCATTTTGTTCACTCATCAGTGAATGGGTACCTGGTAGGATATGGACAACTTTATCATTTTGTTCACTCATCAGTGAATGGGTACCTGGTAGGGTATGGACAACTTTATCATTTTGTTCACTCATCAGTGGATGGGTACCTCGTAGGATATGGACAACTTTATCATTTTGTTCACTCATCAGTGATTGGGTACCTGGTAGGATATGGACAACTTTATCATTTTGTTCACTCATCAGTGGATGGGTACCTCGTAGGATATGGATAACTTTATCATTTTGTCCACTTATCAGTGGATGCGTACCTCGTAGGACATGGATAACTTTATCATTTTGTTCACTCATCAGTGAATGGGTACCTGGTAGGATATGGACAACTTTATCATTTTCATCATAGCTGTTGTCTATTACAGGAGGCATACCCAGTACTATGGTGGTTACCATAACAACCACAAGGTGATCAACTGGCTGTGGGATATCCTGGAGAAAGATCTCACATTCCCAGAGAAGGGTCTCTTCCTCAAGGTCAGATAACTCCACCTGGAAGTCATGTATCTGTATAGTCTGTTTGCAGTGAAAACGTACCGATGAATTTCACTTTAAACAAAATTGTAAATCAAATAAGTGAAATTATGATTGCGAATCCTCATAATTTTACCTTGCCAATTGAACATTTAAATATCAGAATTGTATTCAACTGAGGATAAAAGTTGTTTAACAAAAGATCATAGATTCAAAACGCTATTGTTGGTTTGTATTACAAGGGGGTAAGCGCAGTAGTTGGAACAGTGAAACAACTGCATGTAGGGTACGTGATGAGCGTTAACTTAGACCAACCCCACTTGTTCCAGGTGTTTCATTTAATACAATCCAATAATATCCATTTGAAACTATGTCTTTCGTTAAAGACCTTTCATCCTAAGTTGAATAAAATTCTGAGATTTAAAAGTTTAATTCGCAAGGTAAAATTTTGAAGATTTGCAATCATAATTTCACTTATTAATGATGGTGATGATGATGATGGTGATGATGATGATGATGTTGTTTCCCCCAGTTTGTGACCAGCTGTTCCAAGCCCCCACTGCTGGGCTTTGCCAACCTTGAGCCACCCTTCTCCATCCGGTGTGTGGAGGTCAGCGATGACCAGGTCAGTGCGCTCTCGTGTGAACTAGCTAGTGTCAGGTAGTGTGTCTCTGACCAGGTCAGTGCTGTCTGGTGTGAACTAGCTAGTGTCAGGTAGTGTGTCTCTGACCAGGTCAGTGCTTTCTCGTGTGAACTAGCTAGTGTCAGGTAGTGTGTCTCTGACCAGGTCAGTGCTTTCTCGTGTGAACTAGCTAGTGTCAGGTAGTGTGTCTCTGACCAGGTCAGTGCTTTCTCGTGTGAACTAGCTAGTGTCAGGTAGTGTGTCTCTGACCAGGTCAGTGCTTTCTCGTGTGAACTAGCTAGTGTCAGGTAGTGTGTCTCTGACCAGGTCAGTGCTTTCTCGTGTGAACTAGCTAGTGTCAGGTAGTGTGTCTCTGACCAGGTCAGTGCTCTGACCAGGTCTCGTGAACTAGCTAGTGTCAGGTAGTGTGTCTCTGACCAGGTCAGTGCTTTCTCGTGTGAACTAGCTAGTGTCAGGTAGTGTGTCTATGACGTTTGTAGGGAGTGACTGATTAGATCGAGTGGTCAGACCTGTTTTTTTGCGTGTCGATGTACCCTAATGACAGTGGTCAATATCAATCAGTGGATTGTCTGGTCCAGATTCAGTTTACAGGCCAGCTCCCTACTTATAGTTTGTCATAAAGAAACAACAGATTACATCCTTAGTTAAAACTAACTGGTATTGCACCTATTTCAACTGCTTAAGATGACCTGTATTACCAGAAATCCTGAAATTATTGCTATGGTTGCCTGTGTGAAATTGATCCTATGATTAATCTGAGTTTTGTGATTCAGATTTGAAAGAAAAACTATTGATCTATTCCTGGTGTCTGAAGCGCTTCTACCACAGCAGACTAGATAGCGACCCATTTGTATTTGGACCATTTGATTAATAGATTTAACAAAATACCGGCTATAACTGCCAGCTATAACTGCATTCTTCACTACCCTAGGATACTGGCGACACTGTGGGAAGCGTCCTCAAGGGATTCTTCAACATCAAGAAGAAGGATGCCGGCGGCCGCCTCCCGACCTCCTCCACCTGCTTCAACCTCCTCAAACTCCCGAACTACTCCAAGAAGAGCATTCTCCTCGACAAGCTCCGCTACGCTATTCACTCACACTCTGGATTTGAAATATCATGATGTCATTGTTCCACATCTCTCTGCCTCCTCATCAGCTCACAGCACAGATGCTTTGAAGATGAAGCTGTGGTAGATGAAATTATTCATCCACGGATGTAAATCCACTTAGGTCACAAACTATAGAGGGTTGAGTTGGAAGCAGTACGGTACCGGCGTCATGTGGTTTCTATGCCACACTAAGCTACTTTGTGATATAACAGATATATTGTCTGGAGTGGAGTTCAACCCAATTCACTCACTCACTATCTTGGTTTACAAAATATGAACTCAAATCTGAACCAATTTTTCTGTTCATATTGACTGACTTAAATTTTGGACTGAAAGTGAAACTATAAATATCTTCAGCTATGCCTCCATGAAAGCACCATCTAGTCTGATCCATAATAGGATACAGAGTTGCTTCCCCTAGCTGTGTGAGGATCATGGTTCAAATCCAAAGCTATTTCTGCTTTGTTTTATCGCCAGGTACCAGAGTCAGTATTTACCCGGGTTGTTTGGAGTGTTACTTTCACATTAAGCCAACATTATTTATTAAATAGTCCCATTTGTTTCCAGCAGAATTAACACTCACTCATAATAGCTTGCCAACTGTAAAGGAGTGTTGTGTTAGCTGCCCATACCGTGGTACACTACCCACAGGAGGTCAATGATCTGGAGTTATATGTTTTTAATATGTACAAGTGTAGTTCAGCAGTTCTTTCTTACGAAAATCATATGATGTAGAGAGATGACTCTGCTCTAACAGAGGATGTCAGTACTAGAATACTGATAGAAGTAGGTCTGTCTGGAGGGCTGAAGGTTGGTGTGTCAGTACCTAGCTGCATCATACTGTCAGGTGTTAAAGACGATACCTGTTGTAACCTTGTATGATGCTCGGTATTAAGGGGATAACACAAGGACTGTCGGCCTGTAGTCAATCTGAGTGGGGCATCCATGTTAACTCTGCTTCATGTCTCAGTAGGTAAACGCTATGAAACTGACATTGGTAGGGACTATTGGAACCAGGCTCGAACACAGGACCACAATTGCGTGTCACTGTAAACATGTAGTAATCAATGTTAAGTCCTGTTTATATATGTAATACTCTTAGCACAATGGCGGTGGGGTAGCCTCGTGGTTAAAGCGTTCACTTGTCACACCGAAGACCTGGGGTTGACTCCCCACATGGGTACAATGTGTGAAGACCATTTGTGGTGTGATATTGCTGGAATGTTGCTAAAAGTGGTGTTAAACCATACTCACTCACTCTTAGCCCAATCTTAGGTTCTGTTTCACCTCAGAGCTTCACATATACATGTTTTCAGCTCAAATACTTCAGTCCAAAATATTCCCACGCATTCAGCTGGTATTATCTCTTGCACTAGGATTCTACCATACCTGACGCATACAGTACATGGCGGTTTCAGCCTGCAGATTTCAGAGTGTGTGGTTTACAGAGGTTGGATTCCACTTTGAGTGTGCACTGCACAGGTTTCTCAGATTGTTAATAGTTTTAGAGTTCAGTTATCAAGAACTGGTTCCAGATTGAAGGTACATCCATCCTTGTGTGCTCTTGACAGTAATGTTGCCGTGTGATGCACTAGTCCATGTCTAGTTTGTTCTGGTGACCAAGTTAAGATGTCCTGTAAACTTATTAACCTAACCTTCTGTAAACCCCCTCGTAAGTCTCACTGCAACACAGTTAGAGAAATTCTTCAGGAACGATATCATCCAGAAAATAGGGAAGTATCAGAAAATGTTTTCAGTTGTTTTGGAGCAGCAGACCCTTTTCACCAAAGTTCTTGATGTACAGACTACATGTGACTGTCGTCCATATTGCTGCCATGCTGTATATAGAGATGAAGTGTAAATATACAATGTGCTTACTCCGTGCGGGGGTAGAGTCTAGGCATAGCTTATAGCATGTAGTCCTCCTCCTTCGTAACGTGGGTCATGGGGACCATAGATCTTGTAGCGTGTGTATTTGATGCAATATGTGTTGAAAATACTCAGATTAATGTAGCTGTTGGGTTGATTCGACACAACCACAAGTCTACTGATTCTCATAGTAACTGACGTACTGACGCTTGGATTCAGTGCACAACCAATAATTATGTATGCATATGACTCACTTGAACACAGAGGTAGCCCAGGGCAATCCCTGCTATACAACCTATATAGACTAGTTGTTGTATAAGGCTGATATCGTTTTACATGGTATAACATGGGGTTTTACATGATATACCATGGGGGTTTTACATGATATAACATGGGGTTCCACATGGTATAAGATGGGGTTTTACATAGTATAAGATGGGGTTTTACATGGTATAAGATGGGGTTCCACATGGCATAAGATGGGGTTTTACATAGTGTAAGATGGGGTTTTACATGGTATAAGATGGTGTTCCACATGGTATAAGTTGGGGTTTTACATGGTAGAAGTTAGAGTTTTACATGGTATAACATGGCCTGCATTGCTTGCCTGTGTGTTGCCAGGTTTGTTATTTTTTTGTCCTTCCAACTGTCTGAAGGTGAGAAATGCTCACTATCATATGGATGGCATTGGTCGATGTACCATGAGAACCGACATTAACAAGGACTGGTTAGGGTAGGCAAGAGGTATAAGTGTGCCCCTATCATGCTGAAGTTCTGGGTTTTGTTCCTTCTGCTTGAAGCTTATCCTTGAACTTATGCTAGTATATTCCAGAATGATGATGCATTATTGCTAACAGTATGTTCATTCCACTGAGAAGGACTGTTGATTGTGTTACAGGGTTATGTTTAGCAGCTAGTCTCATAGAGCAGAGATATCTCAGGTCTTGTATTGTATTCCTTGATGACATTCCGTTCAACCGCAGCTTTCTACATAATCCATGGTGACGAGTTGACTTCATCCATGGTGGCGAGTTGACTTCGTCCATGGTGACGAGTTGACTTCGTCCATGGTGACGAGTTGACTTCATGCATGGTGACGAGTTCTGGTAGGTATTGCACTGTCAATATTTTGCCAAAATGTGGTGTATATATGCACATGGAGATTTGATGTGCAGTGGTTGTTAGGTTGGATATTGTAAATAAGTTCGCAGCTTATTATCCGTCATCTGTACTCATAGCAGCACGGGTTGCAGTGTCTCGGACATGAGGCCTCCTTTGATTTGATACACCTACTTCAATACAAGTCTGTCTAATCTTGACAACTGCCTTAGGGATATATATGATCTTTAAAGCCATAGCAAATCTTTTACACAGTTCAGTGATATCTTGTTGTCAATTTGTTGATGTGATTATTAGTTTCTAAAGATCCAATTGTTTTGAAATCAAATGTAGAAAGGTATCAAGTCGGAGAAGATGGCCCGATAGTGCTGTATTGTGTATACTTGTGATGAGCTGTTTGTTGTTGAGTCTCTGTGCCATGTATGAACGATTTCTTGTGCCAAACGTAGCAGTAGTTGAAAATATCAGTATATGCAGTGAAATGGGCATGTGAAACCTTGTTACCCTGGAAACCTGCCTTCCAAATCTGGAAATCGCTACTCGAGATCAATGACTAGTTCACTGATTACCACACAGGTTTAGGATTGTGATGACAAAAAGCTGATACTGGGGTTCAGTTTAGTGGCAGCAACAGTAGACAGTAGACAGTACTCACTGTCCAGAATCTTGTGTTGCCGGGTCTTGTACAGACCTGAATCATTCAGGGCACGCTTCCATCTGGGCTAACACGGTTTCACTGCGTACAGAGCCTTCACCAATGGGCAGATAACTCTGACCATGTCTTGTTGCAGGGGTTGATGGGAGTAGATATGGTGTTGTAATGATGGGTCCCCTTGTTCAGCTGCTATAGGTGTCTGGGTGGACATTAGTAGGTGGAAATATACATGATGAAACATTACTGGGATTGGAGGGTTTTTTTATCAGATTGTTTTAAGGTAGGGAAATAATGGTGATATTGTTGACCAGATTCTCCAGCAGTGTTGTATGCTGAAGGGGATGTACATTGTCTGGGAGTATGGTTCTTGTGCTGTGATGATCTGTGTTGTTTATTGCCATGGTGACAGTGTGCTGCCAGTTGGGGTAATTGTATGTAGTACAGGATGGCAGATAAAAAGTGAGATGAGGTTTCCATGGCATCTGTGCTTTTAGCTTTCACGACAAATGTCCACAAAATTCTACTGTATGATTAATAATGTTACACATCATGTCACTAACTTTGAGGCACAGTTATCTAGGGAATTGCAATTTGCTGTGCAGAGTTCCGTCCCCTTGGTGTTCCAGGAACCTGTGATCATTGGTTGAATCCTCAGCACCATGCCCTGTGTTAGTTTTGGCTTTCTTTCCACATCAAACCGCCAGCCACACCTTGATCTGACAGAATTACTGATCAAAGCGGCTTTAAACCAGCTCACTATCAAATATTCTGATGAACCCTGATCACCACAGGTTGTCTTTCATCAGCTGGGCTACAACAGTGGAGTCGAGAACTTGCCAAGCTAGTCCATCCCAGTCGTCTTCAGCAAGTGCTTTCTGTGTCATGTGAATGTTGATCTGGTGTGCGAGCAATGTGTGTCTGATGTGTGTGCGTGTGCGTGTGCATCGACGTTCAGGGCCAGGATCACAGAAAATTACCATAGACATTTTGGCAGCCATCTGTGCAACATGCATGTATAACAATGGCAATATTCCACTTCTCTGTATTTCATGGTATCACTTACAATTAGTTTTGTTTAAGTTCAGACAAATAAATGGACTGATATTTCAAGTTTTCTCAGAAGCCAATTGTACCACCTTGATGACCAGATGTGAGTATCTGTTACTACTTGTCTACTGTGGCAGTAGATTTGTTGCACTGTGTGGTGACCATGGTAACCACGACATCATTTTCTTACAAAGATTACTCAAGAAAGTCCACTGAGTCAACAAACATTGAACCAAGATTGATGTTGTGGAGGCTGAGAGCAGAACCTACTACTACTACTAAAAGCACTCCTGCAATCTCCTATAGGTGACGCTCTCCAATCTCCTATAGGTGACACTCTCCAGGGTTCCTGCTTTTGTTGTGCCAGCTGATGTCAGGTCATGCAGAAGTTGTTTGTGACACTTGTGTTTGAAGATATATTTACGTGTTGTGGGGAAAGGTATTATCATATTTGTCTCAATTTCTTATTCTTTGCCAATGATATGCACTTTTGTAACAGGTTTTTACAAAATGTTTAAACTTTCAAATTCAGATGAAGATAAAAAAACTCACTATTATTAGCAGTGCAGAATTCATGGTAAACTTAACATACCACTATGAATCAAGTAAGCGCTGCCCAATTCTTTCATGACGGAATAATTATAGTGAACTGTAGAATTAGGTGGTGCTTAACTTGCTTTGAGTTGACTAGAAACTGTTTTCATTCATAGTGATCATGCACTCATCCTGGTTATTCCACTGACTTGTGGATAGATCTTTTGTTGTGTACATACAAACTCTATGAGATGTTACGCCAGAAATGTATTTTAATATGAATGTCAATAAAAACAAACTAAAAAAGTGAAATATTTGGTTTTATTTATTGTAAAATCATTGTTTTTTGGTAAAAAATACATTGTTTCATAAACATTTGAAAAATTTATAACAGTCATTCCTTCAAAGCGAAACTTTTTGCAGTTGTATGGCACAATGTCAGCCTTGTGTCTGCATATTCAGTTAGATTATTGGTGGCTGACAAGGAAACCAATTACTGCGAGATAACTGCATGGAGTACAAACACTCTCAGTAATCTTCCAGCTGTAGGACTGCACCCTGAACACAATCAAATCTGGAGTGATTGACATCTTGTGTATTGTCTTACATAATTGGCATATGATGACAAACGCCAACCAGTCAGCGAACCCCACCATCCAACCAGTCAGCGAACCCCACCATCCAACCAGTCAGCGAACCCCACCATCCAATCCCATTAGTCCTCTCTAACAACAAGCTGCAGACAAAGTCGAAATTTTCACAGGGACACAAACAAACCTTTTTTTTTCTTTTTTAGTTTTACGCAGCACTCCGCAATATTCCAGCTATAAGGCAGCGATCTGTAAATAATCAAGTCTGGATCAGAGAGTCCAGTGATTAACAGCATGAGCATCGATCTTCACAATTGGGATACAATGACATGTCAACCAAGTCAGCAAGCCTGACAACCCAATCCCGCTAGTCGCCTCTTACAACAAGCACGGGTTACTGAAGATCAACATCAGCATTGGTATATGTCAATCACTCCCTCCACATTAAATCAGCATCCTCGTCACAGCATCCATACAGGCTTGGCAGCCCACTTGCATTGGTTCTGACAAAATAGCAACTGGCCAATCAGATCACTCGACTCTTTACTGTTTGATAACATGATATGCAAACTAAAGGAATGTGTAAATATGAGAATAATGCCCTCAGGAATATGTATATGGCAATAGGAAGACTACACACATCAAATATTTGTACTATTAACAGAGGGTTGACATTCAACTTCTTGAAAGGCATTTAGAAGTTGACGAACATGAATTCATGAAACGTTTTTATGGTTAACAACTTATTCTTTATACGACGTCTCCGAGCTAACTCTTGCTCCTTTAACAGGTGATTTTTATTCTTTATACGACGTGGGCTAATTGTTGCTCCGTCATCGCTCGAATGACCTGACGAAGGAGCAGGAACTAGCTGCGAAACATCGCATAAAGAATAAAAAAGTTGCTATGAAACAGTGTGTCCTGTATTTAGGATTGACACTGATTCCAGTTTCTCAGTAATGCTGCTTACACATGTAATATCTTTCTTGTTGAAAAAACAAGAAGCTGAAATAAATGTCAAACTAGTTTTCTAGTCAAATGTCACCTGTAAATGCAAACACTGGACGGTTTCAACAATACCAGTTTCACCACACAATAAAAAGGTATTTTATTTGGCAAAAGGAAACAATATTTGGTAACATAAGAATACAATCCTGTGTATCTAGTAGAGTAAAAACCTGGTAAAACCTGGAACAATTATACATGGTGTTTGAGTTGATAACGAGGGACGTACCATTTGATAATCAGGTAGAGCCTGGGATATATTTACAAAAATGAACTGTCACAGAAAATGCTTGAAAATTTACATTCGTCTGCACTGAATTACATTGTTTGGGATTGTTTTTTTAATAGATTTTTAGGCAAATAGTTTTCATTAAAGACTGACTGACTGAGTTTGGTTTTACGCCACTTTTAGCAATATTCCAGCAACATCATGGCAGGGAACACAAGAAATGTACCCATGTAGGAATTCGAACCCGGGTCTTCAGCGTGATGAGCCAACACTCTAACCACTTGGCTACCCCACTGCCCCTTCATTAAAGAAATATTATTTCAGGTACAGCTGCAAAATCAGAAATCTAGTCAAAACTAAATCTGAAACCCTTCCTTGGAAGTCAAATGGTTGGCCCCTTACAGCACAGCAGAATGAGTGGGTGTTTGTACGACATTCAATAGTTATCAAACGCGACATTCAGTAGTTATCAAACACGACATTCATTACAGTTACATCATGTAAATGTTCTCTTACAAACACAGTTTACAAAACAATATTGCTGAACATGTTAATCTGGACATTGCTTGTGTCTACATGTTTTATTCAAGGACAAGATGGAACACAAAAGGTGGACCCACAGGCCACTACATGGAATACGACCAATATATCACTGGGCTTCCTGTAACACACAGCTGGAGTAAAGAAACCATTACTGCCACTGAGACATGGAATTTGTTTTTTGAAAGTCTAACTCAAAACTCAGCAATATTCCAGCTACAAGGCGGCGATCTGTCAATAACTGATTTACAGTTGAGACAAAAAACTAGGGATGTCACTATACGATAAGTTTCATGAATCGATACGTATCACAATACCCATGTCACGATTCAATACGTATCATGATGCCTATTTGGGCGGCATTACTGTGTAAATTTGGTTACATTTTGAACATTAATATTTCATATTTAATAATTGTTCATGAAAAGATCAACATTTTTGATTCTCAGAGATTAAAAAGTTCTAATTTCCCATCTTTGTTTATAAATAACTATACGATACATAAACATATTTAAACGATACTTTCAAAGCTAAATATCAATATAGTTTTGAATGTATCATGGCATCCCTGACAAATATCCAACCGATCCTGTGGGTCGCCTTTTACGACTCAAACCGAGTTAAAAAAACTTACAACTAGAAGGTTGCGTTCAAATAACCACCAGACAAGATGGATGTAGGAAGGTCATGTGAAACATGGGCATACTCTATAACAAACTGGGTGTTAAGTTCTTTGAGTAGTACACATTAGCTGAGAAGTAAGCAGACGGGCACCCAATCATATTCACTGAGAAGGAGGCTGAAGAAAGAATTAAAAAATATAATGTTCACTTGACAAAATAATAAAGTTGTTACAGTTCAGTTATTGACACAGTTCACTGTTTGTTACGAGGGAGGAGTGCAGAGAAAGGGACAGCCAGATGTTCGAGAAGCACGTTCACAGACAAAGTTATTCATTCATTAACCTGTGCTGTGCCGTCTCCATCCGTTCTCGAACACCTGGCTCTCCCTTTCTCTGCACTCCTCCCTCATAACAAATAGTGAACTGTGTCAATATTTTAATGATAGATTGTTAAACAACTTTTATTTTTAGGACAAAAATTCTGCAAAATTCTCACAGAGTGGGTATGATGTTTTGATTATGATCAGCGTTTCATTGAGTAGTTTATGTTTATTAGTTTTCGAGTTAGATTGCAATTCATCGGTCCGCTTTTGAGCCAAACAGACTATACATGTGATCACATTTCAGATTTGATCTTGCATAAACAGTTTTCCGTAATAGATCACCAATGATTAAGTTCTTCAAATGCTTGTCTGTAACAGGACTGGCGATTCTGAACATGTGCAGTGATATGACGTCCGCGGAACTCTTGGTTCAACTGTGTAACTATTACTGACAATACCACAGGGACACACTAACATATGGTCAGTCCGAGATATATCTTGCCTTGAACAACATGTTTTCACTACTGTCTGTGAGCAAGTGAGTGAGAGAGCTGCAACATTACGGCATGTAGCCTCCGGTATGGTCCTCACATGCTAGCTTGGCGTCTCACAGACTCCTGTGCTCAGACAAATTTGTAGAGCAGGGCCCCATGACCTTGATAACCAGGCACTGATAGAATGAACAGCTTCCCTAAATGTTCGAGCCATGGCTCTGGACTCAAGCACAAACTTGTCTGTATGATAAAGAATGTGTTTGAGCGGGAAAAACAGAGAAGTACACTGTATTTACAACAAATAAGCTCAATTCTTAATAACAATAAGTTTTACTTATATTGTTCTCCATCAGACACTTTGCAAAGATCACCAATTTCTCACAAGCATCTTCCGTTATTACTGTGTGCTTATGCTACATCAAAGAAATGGAAGAAATCATTTTCACACCATTTGTAGGTTTTGTACAAAGAAGTTGTGTCAAACAATCCTTGAAAGCAAAGAAAGATGGACAAAATTCAACAAGACATGAAAAGAGGGTAACCCTGCAGTCAGTCCAGGTTGTGTGGTCAAGAAATGACTAAGTCTGGCGATACACCAACCTGACAGTCCAGGTTGAGAGGTCAAGAATTGACTTAGTCTGGCGATTCACCAACCTGACAGTCCAGGTTGTGTGGTCAAGAATTGACAGATTGTGACAGTTCTAAATAAGAATGAAGATTACACAAAGTTCAATATTCTAAGTATCACATCTTCTGCTCCAGTTTCTGGCGACTAAAGACAATGCACAAAGTATTTTTTTGTATTGTATTGACAGACAGTGACATCACGTGTACAATGTACCAGCTTCTGTTACAGCGACACAGAAAGACTCCTACCCATGATGCCATGCAGGGAAACTGAAGGACGTGTATGTCCTGGATCTGGGACTGGACATCAACTGTAGAGGAGGGAGGAACGTGCCACCAGCGATGGCGGCGGCACGGGATGGACACAGAGATGTGGGGGAGCTCCTCCTGAGTAGAGGAGCTGATGATCCTATCCTTGAACGTGGTGGACATGAACACAAGGAACAGCAACAGGATCACAAGGGCTGGAAGTGGTAAAAGATATGGAACATGATCAACTATTGGATCTCCATGTGGTGCCCGATGAAGTCGGTGTGGTGTTGGTGCCGACAGTGAAGGTGTTGTTACCGACACTGATGTAGTGTTCGGTGAAGTGATCCTATCCTTGAACGTGCTGGACATGAACACAAGGAACAGCAACAGGATCACAAGGGCCGCAAGTGGTAAAAGATATGGAACATGATCAACTATTGGATCTCCATGTGGTGCCCGGTGAAGTCGGTGTGGTGTTGGTGCCGACAGTGAAGGTGTTGTTACCAACACTGATGTAGTGCCCAGGTTGTGTGGTCAAGAATTGACTAAGTCTGGCGATACCACCCACATTACACCAACCTGACATACAGACGGAATACCATTGATCAAGTCATCGAGGGTTTCTCTCTGACCAGTATCTGACAATATATGAACTTCCCCAACGATTGTTGAAGAAGAAATTGATTGTTTGGGGACAATGGTAAGGTGAGATCACCAGTCAACACTTTCCACTTACCCTCTGTGAAAGACGTGAACGAGACCGGTGTATCTACAGGGCGGGGCCTGCTCCTTCTTGTAAAAAAAGCAGTAAATGAGAAAAACAAGATTCTCTAACTGGACAATTTAAAATTTTCACATCAAAGCAATTATATCATCACCTGAATATTCCATTATTATATCATTACACCTTGTGTTAAACCTAATTGTTGAAGTATCCATATATATTTGCCAAGTATCTCATATTTTGCCAGCTGTCAGGGTAAAGGTGGAACAGATTGTGACAGTTCTAAATAAGAATGAAGATTACACAAAGTTCAATATTCTAAGCATCACATCTTCTGCTCCAGTTTCTTGCGACTAAAGACAATGCACAAAGTATTTTCTTGTATTGTATTGACAGACAGTGACATCACGTGTACAATGTACCAGCTTCTGTTACAGCGACACAGAAAGACTCCTACCCATGATGCCGTGCAGGGAAACTGAAGGACGTGTATGTCCTGGATCTGGGACTGGACGTCAACTGTAGAGGAGGGAGGAACGTGCCACCAGCGATGGTGGCGGCACGGGATGGACACAGGGATGTGGGGGAGCTCCTCCTGAGTAGAGGAGCTGATGATCCTATCCTTGAACCTGGTGGACATGAACACAAGGAACAGCAACAGGATGACAAGGGCCGCAAGTGGTAAAAGATATGGAAGAGCTGATGATCCTATCCTTGAACGTGCTGGACATGAACATAAGGAACAGCAACAGGATGACAAGGGCCTCAAGTGGTAGAAGATATGGAACATGATCAACTATTGGATCTCCATGTGGTGCCTGGTGAAGTCGGTGTAGTGTTGGTGCCGACAGTGAAGGTGTTGTTACCGACACTGATGTAGTGTTCGGTGAAGTCGGTGTTGTGTTGGTGCCGACAGTGAAGGTGTTGTTACCGACACTGATGTAGTGTTCGGTGAAGTCGGTGTTGTGTTGGTGCCGACAGTGAAGGTGTTGTTACCGACACTGATGTAGTGTTCGGTGAAGTCGGTGTTGTGTTGGTGCCGACAGTGAAGGCGTTGTTAAGTGTTGGTGTTGTTAACGACACTGATGTAGTGCCCAGGTTGTGTGGTCAAGAATTGACTAAGTCTGGCGTTACCACCCACATTACACCAACCTGACATACAGACGGAATACCATTGATCAAGTCATCGAGGGTTTCTCTCTGACCAGTATCTGACAATATATGAACTTCCCCAACGATTGTTAAAGAAGAAATTGATTGTTTGGGGACAATGGCAAGGTGAGACCACCAGTCAACACTTTCCACTTACCCTCTGTGAAAGACGTGAATGAGACCGGTGTATCTACAGGGCGGGGCATGCTCCTTTTTGTAAAAAAACAGTAAATGAGAAAAACAAGATTCTCTAACTGGACAATTTAAAGTTTTCACATCAAAGCAATTATATCTTCACCTGAATATTCCATTATTATATCATTACACCTTGTGTTAAACCTAATTGTTGAAGTATCCATATATATTTGCCAAGCATCTCATGTATTGCCAGCTGTCAGGGTAAAGGTGGAACAGATTGTGACAGTTCTAAATAAGAATGAAGATTACACAAAGTTCAATATTCTAAGTATCACATCTTCTGCTCCAGTTTCTGGCGACTAAAGACAATGTACAAAGTATTTTCTTGTATTGTATTGACAGACAGTGACATCACGTGTACAATGTACAAGTATTTTCTTGTATTGTATTGACAGACAGTGACATCACGTGTACAATGTACCAGCTTCTGTTACAGCGACACAGAAAGACTCCTACCCATGATGCCGTGCAGGGAAACTGAAGGACGTGTATGTCCTGGATCTGGGACTGGACGTCAACTGTAGAGGAGGGAGGAACGTGCCACCAGCGATGGCGGCGGCACGGGATGGACACAGGGATGTGGGGGAACTCCTCCTAAGTAGAGGAGCTGATGATCCTATCCTTGAACCTGGTGGACATGAACACAAGGAACAGCAACAGGATGACAAGGAACAGCAACAGGATGACAAGGGCCGCAAGTGGTAAAAGATATGGAACATGATCAACTATTGGATCTCCATGTGGTGCCTGGTGAAGTCGGTGTGGTGTTGGTGCCGACAGTGAAGGCGTTGTTATAAACACTGATGTGGTGTTCGGTGAAGTCGGTGTGGTGTTTGTGCCGACAGTGAAGGTGTTGTTATCGACACTGATGTGGTGTTCGGTGAAGTGATCCTATCCTTGAACGTGCTGGACATGAACACAAGGAACAGCAACAGGATGACAAGGGCCGCAAGTGGTAGAAGATATGGAACATGATCAACTATTGGATCTCCATGTGGTGCCTGGTGAAGTCGGTGTTGTGTTTGTGACGACAGTGAAGGTGTTGTTATCGACACTGATGTGGTGCTCGGTGAAGTGATCCTATCCTTGAACGTGCTGGACATGAACACAAGGAACAGCAACAGGATGACAAGGGCCGCAAGTGGTAAAAGATATGGAACATGATCAACTATTGGCTCTCCATGTGGTGTTCGGTGAAGTCGGTGTAGTGTTGGTGCAGACAGTGAAGGTGTTGTTATCGACACTGATGTGGTGTTCGATGAAGTCGGTGTAGTGTTTGTGCCGACAGTGAAGGTGTTGTTATTGACACTGATGTGGTGTTCGATGAAGTCGGTGTAGTGTTGGTGCAGACAGTGAAGGTGTTGTTATCGACACTGATGTGGTGTTCGATGAAGTCGGTGTAGTGTTTGTGCCGACAGTGATGGTGTTGTTACCGACACTGATGTGGTGTTCGATGAAGTTGGTGTAGTTTTTGTGCCGACAGTGATGGTGTTGTTATCGACACTGATGTGGTGTTTGGTGAAGTGATCCTATCCTTGAACGTGCTGGACATGAACATAAGGAACAGCAACAGGATGACAAGGGCCTCAAGTGGTAGAAGATATGGAACATTATCAACTATTGGATCTCCATGTGGTGTTCGGTGAAGTCGGTGTTGTGTTTGTGACGACAGTGAAGGTGTTGTTACTGACACTGATGTAGTGCTTGGTGAAGTCGGTGTAGTGTTGGTGTCGACAGTGAAGGCGTTGTTACCGACACCAGGGCTCGATTTAGTGCTTTGTTACTTGCACTGGTGCAACCCAATATTACAAAATACAACCTAGCTATGAGTCTATCTTGCACAAGGTGCAAGTAAATTGTTTAGAAATATATCAACAATACATCTAACATATGCAATAATATGCCAGCCCATTTTTCTTCTAAACTTTGAATAGCTATGGCAATGAAACATTGCTATTCATCAACACGTCTCGGCTATGACAGCTCTTGTAAACAGGGATCAGCTGTGTCTCAGTGTTGCTATGGTTTCATGGGTACTACATGACTGATTAAGGTTTATGTGCACCGAAACATTTTAACACACTACGTTGCAACTGGAATTTGGCTGGTGCAACTAGGTCTTTATCTTAGGTTGCACCTGGTGCAAGTAGGTTAACATCTCTTAAATCTCTTAAATCGATGTAGTGCTCGGTGAAGTCGGTGTAGTGTTTATGCCGACAGTGAAGGTGGACGTGTTGTTACCGACACTGCAGGCTCTTGCACTCATGTTTACCGGTTCAAGAATGTTTATTTACACTGTATTAAATAAACTCTAGTATCAGTGTTAGATCAACACATGACACGATCATGGTCCACTATGGCAAAATCTCCAATGACCACGGTCCACCATGGTTTCTGGTAACCATTCCAGGAAAAGCCAAATTGGAGAAAGTAGGATACAGAAAGATGTGAGCGTTTCCGGGAACGACCGATGCCATTGTTGCTATTTGTCTCAGAGACCTGTGTGAACGTGCAAAGTGAATGAGAGGTGCTAAACACAACATGGCTAACTGCAACAATCCAGGCGAAGAATATCCCTAAAGTATTAGCGATGACTGATTTCATAGAAAATCTAATGATGGATATGTCAAGAATTCTGACCGTTTGACCACGTTAAGAGAATAGGCTAGATTTACTGCCAATGGATACATCTCACGTTGATCCCCAATGGAAATAAGATTACCATGAGCAGTAAGTAAACAGGAATACTGAAGTTGTTTTGAGCATCAGGAAACCAAAACATGATGCTTACAGTTTCCTTGTGCCACATCTAGATCCCATCATCATGATGTTTGTTAAAACCTTTTTGATGTTTCCAGGATCTTGCCAGAGGATCCTTTCTATTAGAATATGTCGGAATGAAATTGTCCGCATCTGAAGGCCTGATACTACATCAGCCATACAAAAGTCAGAAGAAACACTACTTGCCCTTCTTCAAATATGCTGGCTAAGAGCATTGGTATTTTCTTTCGAACTATTGTTTGACAATATAAGATTAAATTGTGTATTGTAATTTATACACAAATTTATCAGCAACCTCCGCAGTGAGAAGGATGTCACTGTTGCCCCAGCCGACAAGGACATCACCGTGCCCCAGCCGACAAGGACATCACCGTGCCCCAGCCGACAAGGACATCACCGTGCCCTCGCCGACAAGGACATCACCGTGCCCCAGAGGACAAGGACATCACCGTGCCCCAGCTGGCAAGGACATCACCGTGCCCCAGCCAACAAGGACATCACCGTGCCCTCGCCGACAAGGACATCACAATGACCCAGCCGACAAGGACATCACAATGACCCAGCCGACAAGGACATCACCGTGCCCCAGCCGACAAGGACATCACCGTGCCCCAGCCAACAAGGACATCACCGTGCCCTCGCCGACAAGGACATCACCGTGCCCCAGCCAACAAGGACATCTTGAACACATGGTCTTCAAAGACCACACGATCTACTGCAAAACTGCAAACACAAAGCCAGTCTCAAACAGTTAGTGGGGATTAGTGCCCTGGTTTGTGTCCACCATGATTGTTGCAGCGAAAGGGACAAGCTACTTCAAATGGATCGGACACACCACCACAGAACACGAAGACTTATGCGAATCATATCAAAGAGGGATGTAAAGAAGACAACACTTTTCCATACTGCTCTGTTGGACCAGATAACAGTTTGGTACAATGAAAAATACAAAAAGAAAGACATGATGTAGCTATGTTTGTAAACCTGAAGAAAAGGGCATCAGCTAATACACTGAACCTGTCTCAAACTACACTGCAGCCACTGTCATTAGCACTGTCTCAGTAACCATTTATTTATTTATTATTATTTTAGTTACAACATGTGAGTTTTTTTCCCTTGAACAAAAACACTCAAGAAGTATCTCCACAATCAGCGTTCTCAGTTCCCCAGAACACCTTCTAGGCAAACAGCTCAACCATGGCAGCCGACACAACCTGAGGGGGACAGTCGTATCCGGACCAACACAATCAGCAGCGTCGCCACCCCAGGAAGGACCATGCCACGGGCACGCCAGTGTTATCGCTGTGGAGGTGGGTATGATTTATCTCATTCTGATCGGTGTCCAGCACGAAATTCAAAGCGTCACTATTGTCAGAGGGTAGGACATTTCCAACGTGTTTGTAATGCTCGAGGTCAGGCTCGAATATCACAGCACACAATGTTCTCACTTTACACAGCAGACTGTGTTCTCACTTTACACAGCAGACTGTGTTCTATATTCAGGATTATTACTATTAGATGATGCTACATGCATGGAGCCCGACTCATATCGATACATGCTATAGATCATTCATTACAGTTTTACATGACTCATTGCCAAAAGGTTACAAGGAAATAGAAGCGTGCATGTATGTTGAAAATATGTATTGTTAAGTGTCAAATGTCTTCTTGAATACTTCAACAACAGACATTCAAGTATTGGTTGATATGGAAGAAAGTATTCATATTCACGGGTTAGTGACAAAACGCTGCGAAGGTCACGTTGTGTACTACTACTTGAATACATTCCGGGGTTACCTACCAAAATGTTTAGTTCAGGTTGCATATATTCCTACCACTTCAATTGTTTTAATATTTTTCAAATTTAGTCGGTTTTATCAGGAGAAGATGCCATATCAATGCAGTCTGACAGTTACTATACGTCCCAGTGCATGGGAGTATTGATAATATAGATGATTTAATTTCAAGCTTCTCTTTATGTTCATAATGACATGTTTTTATTATAGAATCCAGGAGTCTCCTTCCACCAGTCTGGGTCTAGTTCACGCTGATGGCGCTGGTCAGCGTCCAGCATCAAGTTAATTCTGACCATAAGGAATTACAACATCCATGGGAGTTGTATTTATCCGTACGTCAAGTATCAACATTTCACAGAATGAAAAGATCCATGTATTCCAGTATAGATTACCAGATTTATCTGAAATGGGTAATAGACCAGATTACCAACAGTTTGCACGAGTTACATTGTTATTGTGTAAATGCTATAGATGGATATATAAAGAAAGAGGAACAAGAATTGCTCGTGTATTGGATGAATGTCAGTAAAGATATTAAAATATTAATTCTGCATATTAACAGGGTTTTTTAACAGGATTCACGCACGAAACAGGCAATTCTTCCATTTATTGGATCCATTAGTCGTTCATGTTTTGGTACTGCTACAGTCGATGATGTTAAACAGTACATCTGCCATGTTGTTCAACCAAACTAAAGACAGCAAATCATGGGACAACCATGATCTTGACACATTTCTTTGTACAGGAAATGAACTTTAGGAACTAAGACACTTGTCATCATCTACCCAGCATGCTGACCAACTGAAGTCTCACATTACTGGAAGAGTGGAGGTGGCGGAGGGGGGACACACCCAAACAAGAAGTTTTCTTTCGTTCTTCAAAACAAATAATGACTGTTGAACAACATCTCCCTCAGTCAAGAATGTGGTACGTTGGAACATGGTCAACAGAACTGGAAATATTATCATTAAACTTATGTGGTCATAAAGTTTTGTGTGGGTTTTTTTTGTTTTTATTTTTAGAGGGGGGAAAGAGAGAAATACCAGGGTGAAGTAAGTGCCCACTTCTTGTTGAAAACAATGTATCAATATGAGTTTGCAAGCTGCATGTATTAAAAGTTGTTATAAGTAATAATTTCTTATTGTTAATTTGTTCTGATGTTTAAACTTACGTGAACTGAACTGGTTATTGCCGGTATCCAGTTTACAGAAAATAGGTGGCTTCACATTCAAGGAAAACATGAAGGAAT